TGACGTAGTTGTAATCCTACTAACTCTTACCCTAACCCCAGTGACAGCAACGTTCGGTTTTCTGACACTTCACGTAAACACGCTGATTTGTTTCTGGAGTGGTTCATTTAGATTACAGCTTTCATGTAGGCCATGAATTTAATATTTCCGCTTGGTGAACAGCTGTAATGTTGCTTTTATTGAGCATCTGACTAATGATTAATGAGTAAGCTAATACCAGCACTCAGATTATGGGCTGATTCCTGGATGGAGTCACTATTTTTTAATTCATCTTCGTTTATCCTCACTGCACCTAATTATGGCTTTCTATTTAGGATAAATAAATGATGTACATCTCTGGGATTTTTTTCTCATTAGGATCATAAATGTTTTATAATCATCATGCTGTTGTTAGAATGGTGCACTGTTACAATTCGTAGGAAGAAGCTAAGAAATATTTCATGTGGACCAGGAGCAGTTACACGTGGCTGAGAAGTACCACCTAAGTGCATTTCTATTTTGAATTATTTAGTAATGCAGCATTAAGCGTCCTGTTAAGACACTCAGAAAGCAAATACTGTACATAGAAACAGAGAAATGTATACATCTATATAGTAAATGCTAAGGCTGCTTTGCATTAATTAAATAAATATAATCCAAACTTTTTTTCTAAGTTCTATAAAATAAAAGCATACTTTTAATAAACTTTGTTTGAAATTTTATTTAGCAAATCTTTGTTTTATTTATAAAAAAAATTAATCAGTAAACTGCAGGATTGGTTTGGGAGCTGATCATGCGCAGCTGGAAGAAACACTAGAAATCAATAAATTATTTGATTATTTATGCCCCCCCCCCCCCCCCCCCCCACACACACACACACACACACATCTCTTTGTCTCTTTTTCATGACTGCACTTCTAGATCTGTGTGTTAGCTTCCCTCTTCATTAGTCTTTTTATTTTATGTTGCAGAGCAAATCAATTCACATAATTCAGCAGGAGAGAATCTTTGATTTAGCAGTAAAGCAAAATAACTTTTAGTGTTTTTTCCCCCTCTTGAACACGCCGTTCTTTTGAGTAATTACACATGCACACACACGTCACGCAGTCCAGCTCTTCTCACAGATTTTGTCTTGTGATTTTGTGCTCGGTGTTCTGTTTCATTTTTCATGTGAGAAAGAGAAATGGGCTTATTGTGCCTGGATTTATTTATTATTGAGTTGTTTTATGTCCTTCTGTAACAATTCAGTCTTTCGACGTCTGTCAGAGTTAAACTTGGTTAAAAGTCTGGGGTTAAAATAAGCTCAGTTACGAATAATTGTATTTTTTGGATTCGCAGGAGTTTCATAACTTGGTTTCAGGTATCTGGAAAGTCCAGATAAAACAAAGTGACTAAAACAACATGTCAGATAATAACCATGAAGTTGACTTGTTTTAAACTTTATTTTTGGTTCATCTTGTTCACTTTTAGTCTGGTTTCAGTAAATTAAATAACTTTTTAAATAGTGGTCATTTGTTGTGGTTTAACTGTTATTAACTAGGCCATGTTGGAGATGTTGATGAGCTGGACTAGCGTTTAGCATTAGCACGTAGATATCATCAGAATAACGTTTAACCGTGTCTGTGTTCAGACGGCTGTTTGAGCGTTTACTGTAGTAGCTGGCTCTGACTGCTGAAGGATCATTGTACAAATAGGAAAATGATCGTTTTTAGATATGAAGTGCAACTGTGTGTCATGCAACTGTGACTGTGACTCTTAGAATTAGAGATTGACTAATGTGAGTTCTTATATAGCCGATATGTGTTGCTGATTTTTTGGGCAGATGTTCATGGCCAATTTGAGATGTTTTCTTCACCATATTTGCATGCTAAAATGTCACTAATGACAACAGTGAATGCACAAAATTTGAACCTAAATCAGTTTTTCAACACAACCAACACTTGAATCTAAATTTTGTACACGTTCAGTATAAAAATCAAACATTTAACCAAACCTAATCAAAGAAATAAAAAAACTGACCAAGTATTAAATATAGAAAATGTAATGTGAGAATACGGTTTTAGAGCATTTATGAAATGTACATGTAAATAAAATAAATACAACTTTAGACTACAAATAAAACATCTAACTTAAAAATATGAAAAATAAAATATATGAAAGCTAAATTAAAACCAGTGCTGCGAACCCAATGGCAACTTGCTAATACACACCAACAAAATCTAATGTGCATGCAGTCTTTTTTTTTTTTTTTGCATTTTACTAACATTTCTGATCATCTTCATTTAAACTGTAAATGAAATGTTTGATTGAACCTGATTTAGCAGCACAGTAGCAGCAAACTCCTCCTTCAGAGATCGTATATTCAGACTTCTTATCTGGAAATCTGAGGATGTGTCTGACTTTAAAATTAAATCAGCTCTGCTTAAGAGGTATATCGACCAATGCTCACACATGTATCCATCTGTCTGTCAATCCATCCAATGTCTGGATTATCAAACAAAAATGTCTTTGTCACGGACTCAGAACAAATTATCAACAGTCAGTCTGCAGTTTGTGGTTTTAAGAAAGTTATTTTTATTTTGGCAAGTTAACAGAAGTCACATGTTGGCCAGTGTATTCAATTTTAAGTTTTTTGTTGGACATTATTGAAACACGTCCGCAATTTGTTCTCACAAACATTGCCTATAACTGCACTTCAGCTTTTCAAAATAAGATGACAAAGGAGTTAAAAACAAAGAAATGTCAACTGAATTATTGGTGTTTTTATTTGGTACATTAATCTGTTAGGCTTTCGAAACTAAATGACTTGTATTTGTATAGCGACTTTTTTGAGTCCTACAACCCCCCAAGGTGCTTCACAATACAGTCATTCACCCATTCACACCCACATTCTGGCGGGGATGAGCTATGATGTAGCTACAGCTGCCCTGGGGCGCACTGACAGAGGCGAGGCCTGCCGACTACTGGCGCCACTGGTCACACCGTCCACCACCAGCAGGCAAGGTGGTAGGTTAAGTGTCTTGCTCAAGGACACAACAGCAGCATTCTCTGGTCAGAGCTGGAAATGAACCTGAAACCTTCCAAATACTGGACAACCCGTGGCTCTACCTCCTGAGCTACTGCTGTACATAGACCATAAACATATTTTAAGAGCGTTTCACACACACATAAGCACGTTGCACCCTGGTTTTGGTACAGCAGGTTGTCAGCTTTTACTGATATGTGCTGCTAGTATAATAGTGTAACGTCTAGCCTTGGTGCTTTGTTATGAAATGTGTCATCGGCCACCCTTATCAGACAAAAAACTAGAAACAAGTTTGATCTACTGAAAGTAGTACTACAAGATATTATGTTTGCACATTTTAGTGGAGAAATATTGAAGACATGTCCTGCCTATTTTCTTGTCTGGATTAGATTTGTTCAATTCAATTCAATTTTATTTATGTAGCGCCAAATCACGACAAGAGTCATCTCAAGGCACTTCACATAATAAACATTCCAATTCAGGTCAGTTCATTAAGCCAATCAGAAAAAATGTTTCCTATATAAGGAACCCAGCAAATTACATCAAGTCACTGACTTTGTTGCCTTCTCAACCTGGGGCTTGTTACCAAAAGGATGGAAAGGAATAGATTAACTTTTTTGTCCTATCAGAGTGATTTTTTTGTGACGAATGATGGTTAGTTTTGTTTTACTCCAAAGAAAGAACTGAAATCTTTGTTGCGGTCTGTGTAAATATACAGCTGCATTGTGGCATAGTAAAGTTTAAAAGCTTTCTAAAAGATTTCAGTCACACCTGCAACAGTAACTAAAACAGACAATTTTCATGTAGAAGCAACAGTTATCTGGAACCATGCCAACACCCACAGATGATGAAATCCCTACTTCAGGTATGTTTAAATGACATATAGTGTGTACAACATAAATAATTCACTAATTTCATCCAGAGATTGGAGCAAAATCCAGCAGCAACTTGCATCCAATTTGATTCTCCTGTCCAGCCAACTCCTCATTAATGTGAGCAGCTGGACACCAAATCAGTCCTAGAAGTGGGGTATTTGCATTCCCCTTCCCAATCTGGTAGTTTACAGATCTGTAGCAGATGCACCACTGATAATGCTGCAGTTTGTAAATTGTTATGGGGTGTTTTCACATATTTATTTAGTTAGTTCTGGACTAGATGATAATGTTGTTAACTAGTTGTTTTTTCTTGTGTTTTTATTTTATTTAGTTTTTCCACTACAAACCACATGTACGTACATTCAGCTTATCGGTCGGATGTATCTGGGATGGGAAAACCAGAAGTAAATACAGGAAGAATGTGTTTGGCTAGCATGAGCTAGTCCACAACAACTTACTCCTTGTTTAGCAAAAAGTTGAGAGGGTAACAGTTGAGAAAAAGTCTGTTTCATCACGCTTGTAAAAGTTTGTAATTCTTATGACTACAAACTAAAAGTCGGCACGTTGCAAATGTGTTGTCACCGCAGAATCAAAATTCACAGATATCAAATCCATGGCACATGACAAACGGGATTAGAAAATTTTAGCCCCATTGACTTGATTCATTTTTTCATTCTTCCGGGTACCCGTGGTCCAGAAGTAGATGGGCATGACTTGGGCTCCCTACAGAAATGAATGAACTGGGTTCAGAGGATGGTTCTTAAACTTCATGGTCCGCTGATTTTAGAGCATTAATGGGATGTTTTTGTGATAAGTGGCAATTCCAAAATTGTTTAAATTATGAATTAATAATAAAGTCAAGAGATGGTTAATTAAAACCGATACTGGATGCGTGTTTGAACATGAACCCATAGAACCAGACAGGCTTTAAGTTTAGCTAAACATGAAATGGTGTTGTGTGTGACTGTGTTCTTTTGTGGAAGTGGGTTGTATCACAGCTTTTTATATTAAAATCTGGCCTTCTGACTCATCTCACTTGTCTCATCTTCTTCCTACACAGAAGGGTGAGTTTGTTTTCCCATTCTTTTTTTTTTCTAAACCTCTGTCTTCTGTCCGTCTAGGTGCTGATGTGCTTTGGTCTTTGCGCTCACCCGTAGCTGCAAATGAATCTTCAGCTGCTTTGGTGTAGCTCAGCGCCCAGATAGTCCCATCCCCTCCGTGTGGGTGATAGGGGACTACAAAACCCAGGATGCCTGCCTCTGTGAGGGCAGGGAGCCTGAAGGATCCTGAGGTGGCAGAGCTTTTCTTCAAGGAAGACCCGGAGAAGCTTTATTCTGACCTCCGAGAGATCGGCCATGGCAGCTTTGGCGCTGTCTACTTTGTACGCTTTACACCACCATGAAATGCGTGGACACAATAGATAATTTTAACAACATGGAGCTAATTCTTGACTTTTCAATTCCTAAACACTGAAATAATAAGAATAATCTAGAGAAAGTCAGTGTTTCAATGTGTGTATTATCTGAAGCATCCTGCTCTGTGTGTTTTAGGCACGAGATCTGCGAACAAATGAGGTGGTGGCAATTAAAAAGATGTCCTACAATGGAAAACAGTCTAATGAAGTGAGAAGAGTGGTTTTAATTTATTTAACAAATCACAACTTAGTTTTCGCTTTATATAGGAAGCAATTAAAACTCCTCCCTGTTTTTATGTTAATGAAGTTTGGTCATAATGTAAAGTTTGTAAGAATGAAGAACCATCATTTAAGTGATTTAGAATCCAATGAAAATGATTTTCCCTTTAAAAAAATGTCAATTTTTAGACCACTCATCATGAAGCTGTTAAACGCAGATGTTTGCAATGACTGCGGTCTTTCGCTGTAAAAATCTAAATCCCCAAATGTCTGTTCCAGGAATATATCTCATGTGGGATCACTGCTGATGATTTCAGATTAGCCCTTAACGGATTATACACTTGTGTGTACACTTAAAGACACATTAAACCATTTCTAGTGCAGAAAACCACATGACACGTGTCTATCTCTTCACAGAAATGGCAGGACATCATAAAGGAGGTGAAGTTTCTGCAGAGGATTCGTCACCCCAACAGTATAGAATACAAAGGCTGCTACCTCCGTGAGCACACAGCATGGGTACGATATAAACAGGAACAGAATGACATTGTTATAAGCCTGCAGTGTGCGCTGTTTACAGAACTATAATTGATATTTTCATGTGTTTCTAGCTTGTTATGGAGTACTGCCTTGGCTCAGCCTCTGACCTACTAGAAGGTGAGCTCAAAGGAAGCTTTGCACTCATCCATAAGACATCCCATGCTGACAGAGCTCATAGAAAAACCACACAGACATTTTTATTTCTCCTCACTTGATGATAAATCCTGTCTGCCACTTTTTTCTCTTTCAGTTCATAAAAAACCTTTACAAGAACTTGAGATTGCTGCCATCACACACGGTGCTCTGCAAGGACTGGCCTACCTTCATTCCCACAATATGATCCACAGGTAAGGGGTCCGATATCTGCGTTGCTTTTTATAATTTCAGAAAAAAATTACTATTTTTTCAGACTCCTTTTGTTTTTCTCAGGGATGTAAAAGCAGGCAACATCCTGCTGACTGAACCAGGCCAAGTCAAACTGGCTGACTTTGGCTCTGCTTCCATTGCCTCACCTGCCAACTCCTTTGTGGGAACGCCATATTGGTAAGTGATTGTGTAAACGTTTAATGTGATCCAAATTTGAAGTGTCTGCCAAAACCCCTGATTTTTGCCTCCATCCAGGATGGCCCCGGAGGTGATTCTAGCTATGGATGAGGGCCAGTACGATGGGAAGGTAGATGTCTGGTCCTTAGGGATCACCTGTATAGAATTAGGTAGGTGACAACAGATTTGTAGAGTCAATGTAACTCTGAGATTTAAGTCTGCAATTGTGTAATTTAATAAGGGTTGATTGTTGTTTCTTTTCTCAGCTGAGAGGAAACCTCCATTATTTAACATGAATGCGATGAGTGCCTTATATCACATAGCACAGAATGAAAGCCCCACCCTGCAGTCCAGTGAATGGTGAGGAGCCTTAGCAATGCAACAAGAAAACTACATAGTGTAAAACTTCTACCAAAGTTGGTTATTTAAAGACCAAGTTCACTGAAAAAACATTTTTTACTTATCTTTTTGAAATATGATCAATCACTCTGGGCTTAACATGCAGACTAACAGTGAAAATACTCTTCTACCCATTTTCTGTCTTAAAGGTAGTGGCCAGACTTAGCATTAAAATAGTAGAAATACTGTATAACTACACTTTACCATCTATATAAATGTGAACTGGGTTCAGTTTTTCATTTTGTTAAGGAATTTAGTCATAAATCATTACAGAATATCAAAATTCTCTCCTCCAGGCAGTGAAGAACTGTGTTTTGCATATGTCACTCACACACGTCATGCTAGGTAGCTGCTGTTGCTAGCATGGTAAATCACTGTATTTTGTTTACTATCGTGTTCCTAATTAAAGCAGAAAATTGCGTTTACAGCTGCAGCTAAAGGTCTGAGCCACATGTCCGTGTCCTACGCGTATTTTTAACTAACATAGGTTTGATCTAAAATAGTAACCTACATCTATAAATCCATTTAGAACCGCACCGATACTTCTGGACTCCAGCAGGTGAGTCCCGTTAGCATGACTGCCGCAGCACTAACCCGTGTAACCCAGGTGGAATGTGGTAACAAGCAAGTTTGGGGGGGCGGTTGTGTCATCCGTCTCACTTTTGATTTGCCAGTGATAGACCGCGAGGGTAACTTTAACCGTGCAGAGACGAAGAGGAGGCAAAAATTTGATATCAAGTTCAAAGAGAACGTGCTGATTATGCTGCAGAACACTCTGGGGAGCAGTAGCAGGGGTTGTATGAACTAGTCACTAGTCGACTTCACCGCTCTATAGTGACTTTTTATGCCTGTCATCGACTAGTCGCTGTCACGTGATAATGACCGGCAAGATGCAGTCCACGGAAAAGACAGCAGCCTGCTGTCAGCAGGTGACAAGCTCCTGCGCGTCGGGAGCTGGTCGGGAGGCAACGCGCTGTGCCAGAGCGTCGGTACTGACACCCGCCGTAAAACGGACATTTAATCAAATTGTGACCTTTACCCTCTTGCAATTTAACCTTCCCCTCACCCCCATCCTAACCTTAACCAGCTTGTGCATGCAAAGCTCTGATTGTTGACGCGCTCCAGACATCTGCGTCCTGAGCACGGCCACAGTAACATTATCAAATCAGGTGTCGCCACCTCAAAAACTAATTTAACAAGCGATCGTTCATGTCGGCTCATTTCCTTTTATGTTTTCTGTCTTTTATTCTTTTATTTGTGCCTGATGCGTTTCACTGCTGTGGATCGGGATGCATCACCTGTTTTGTCCTCGGTGACGCACCTCACTGTAACGGAATAGAGTGATGTAACTATCTAGAGTTGTATTTTAATACACTGTAAGTAGATCACTTTTTATAATCAGAAGAATAGGCTGTTTTTATCATCAGGGAGTTTAATTAAACACTCTGTATTGACTTTGAGACAAGAAAAGAGAGAGAGTTGGGATCGTTTGAGAATCTTTAATTACTTAATTATAAATTCTAAACAATCTACCAGGACTAACTCTGTGATGGATGAAAATGGATTTGGATGTTGTGTTGGTGTGTGTGTGTGTGTGTGTGTGTGTGTGTGGTTGGTTCAGACTCCTTAGGCTGACGTCATTGAATCTGGTAGTCTTTGTTATGACTAGATATCACGAGGCTTATAAAGTGATGACATGAGCCGCTATTTTGCCGTGTACGTACCCAGTGGAGGCCTCCCAGGTAGATCAGGAAATGCCAGGTCTGAAGACCTCGGATGTGTACTGGAGCTGTCGGAGCAGCGGTCGCAGCACGTCAAAGCCCGTCTGAAGGGTCGACCCCGGTACCGATCGGCAGCGTCAGCAGGTGCTCTTATTTTGAAAGGATGTCGTCTGGTTGTTAAACGACGAACATCTCCAACTTCACAGTTCTTAGTTTAAAGAAGAAAACACATCTGGCCAGGCTGTGCTTTGCTTTAGGATGACGGTGACTAGAACTGAAGTCAAAATGGAACTGAGCTTAAAATGGCGTTGCCTTGTTTTATATCTCTGAATTGTTTTAAGTTTCAGTAAACGGGATTGGACACTTTAAGTCAACAAGCCAGATTCTCCTGCGGCAGCCGAAAGCTCTGACTGGTTGGAACAATGTGTCATGCGTTTCTATGGAGATGAGGATCAGTCTGTCTGTGCAATAGTCCTGTTTTCATTAAACATAAATCATGACATATTTATTTCACAGATCATTCACTTGATTATTATTGATCAACATCTGTTTCGAATAGCTTTAATCACAAATTAAGTACTTTGATTATTGAAAAGCATTTTTCTTCTCCTTCGGACTCTTCTCCTGGAATGTAAACAGTCTGAGGAACACCCGACCTTGGCGTTTTCAACACGGGTGTTACTGTGCGCAGGGGGCAGCTGTGTGGAGCTGAAAATGATGAACTTCATAACCATAATGCGGCCGGCGAGCAGCGAGCACTCCCCTGTTTTTGCGGTTGGTAAATCTTTTAGAACTGCAGTTCAAAGGTGACTATATATGAACCCAGGTAGCAGTTTTTCTTTAGGATTGAGAGGAGATGCAGGAAGATAATAAACAGACAGGACAGAAAAATAGTCAAATAAAAACAAGTTAGTTTTTGTACCTGCTGGTTGCAACAAACAGACACCATTGAAGGTAATCAGAAATGAGAAACAGAAAATGAAATAATTATTTTAATGTTTAGAGCAGCAGGAACTCTGAGAGGCTGCAGGCGCATCAGTGAGTTTGCGGCCGCTGCGCAGGGGGAGAGGGCTGAAGCAGAAACTACCGTTGTTAAAATAAATGTGTTAACTTAGAAAATGTGGGCACAGTTTTAATTGTCAAAACTCCAGCGAACCATTAGTTCATTTTGCTCAAATAAAAATTGAGGCCTGCCTCTAATTCTGGTCCTCCTTCCAATAAAGGCCTGGAGCTTGATGAGCTTGAGTCAAATACAGTTGTGGTCAGAAGTTTACATACACTTGTAAAAAATATAATATAATGGCTCTACTGAGTGTCCCGTTATTTCTAAAACTGATTTTTCTCTGATAGAGTGATTGGAACAGATACTTCTTTGTCACAAAAAACATTCATGAAGTTTGGTTCTTTAATGTCTTTATTATGGGTTAACAGAGAAAAGTGATCACATTTGCTGGGTCACAAATATACATACAGCAACATGAACTAGCAATTTTGGTGACTTAGAAACGTGTCAGTGAACTGAGCTTCATAGCATGGCCTCTTAACTTCTTGTGAGTGGTTATGAGTGACTACAGCGGGTGACTTCTCTTAGGCCAGGTAAATAGGTCTCATTGGATACAAACGCCCACAAACGCTACAATGGGAAAGTCAAAGGAGCTCAGCATGGATCTGAAAAAGCGAATTATTGACTTGAACAAGTCAGGAAAGTCACTTGGGGCCATTTCAAAGCAGCTGCAGGTCCCAAGAGCAACAGTGCAAACAATTGTTTGTAAGTATAAGGTGCATGGCACTGTTTCATCACTGCCAAGATCAGGAAGAAAACGCAAGCTATCACCTGCTGCTGAGAGAAATTTGGTCAGGAGGGTAAAGAGTGAACCAAGAATCACCAAAAAGCAGATCTGCCAAGAATTAGAAGCTGCTGGAACACAGGTGTCATTGTCCACAGTCAAACCTGTTTTGCATCTCCATGGACTGAGAGGCTGCCGTGCAAGAAGGAAGCCCTTGCTCCAAAAGCGGCACCTTAAGGCTCGACTGAAGTTTGCTGCTGATCACATGGACAAAGATAAGACCTTCTGGAGGAAAGTTCTGTGGTCAGATGAAACAAAAATCAAGCTTTTTGGCCACAATGCCCAGCAATATGTTTGGAGGAGAAAAGGTGAGGCCTTTAACCCCAAGAACACCATGCCTACAGTCAAGCATGGTGGTGGGAATATTATGCTGTGGGGCTGTTTTGCTGCCAATGGAACTGGTGCTTTACAGAGAGTAAATGGGATAATGAAGAAGGAGGATTACCTTCACATTCTTCAACATAACCTAAAATCATCAGTACAAAGGTTGGGTCTTGGGCGCAGTTGGGTGTTCCAACAGGACAATGACCCCAAACACACATCAAAAGTGGTAAAGGAATGGCTAAATCAGGCTAGAATACGGGTTTTAGAATGGCCTTCCCAAAGTCCTGACTTAAACCCCATTGAAAACATGTGGACAGTGCTGAAGAAACAAGTCCATGTCAGAAAGCCATCAAATTTAACTGAACTTCACCAATTCTGTCAAGAGGAGTGGTCAAAGATTCAACCAGAAGCTTGTGGATGGCTACCAAAAGTGCCTAATTGAAGTGAAAATGGCTAAGGGACATGTAACCAAATATTAGCACTGCTGTATGTATATTTGTGACCCAGCAAATGTGATCACTTTTCTCTGTTAACCCATAATAAAGACATTAAAGAACCAAACTTCATGAATGTTTTTTGTGACAAAGAAGTATCTGTTCCAATCACTCTATCAGAGAAAAATCAGAGTTTTAGAAATAACGGGACACTCAGTAGAGCCATTATATTATGTTTTTTACAAGTGTATGTAAACTTCTGACCACAACTGTATATATACGTATGTAATAGGGGTTGCATGACTTAATTATTTAAAAAGTCGACAGTCAAGTAATGAAAATCGAGTCGACTTCGACTAGTCGTTGATGACGTCATACACCTGAAGCAGCACGGGGGGGGGGTAGTAGTTTCGCTGGAGTTTTTGACAATTAAAATTGCGCCCACATTTTCTAAGTTAACACATCTCTTTTAACAACGGTAGTTTCTGCATCCAACTTCAGCCCTCTCCCCTCTCCCCCTGCACAGCGGCCGCAAACTCACTGATGCGCCTGCAGCCTCTCGGAGTTCCTGCTGCTCTAAACATTAAAATAATTATTTCATTTTCTGTTTCTCACTTCTGATTACCTTCAGTGGTGTCTGTTTGTTGCAACCACCAGGTACAAAAACTAACTTGTTTTTATTTTACTATTTTTCTGTCCTGTCTGTTTATTATCTTCCTGCATCTCCTCTCAATCCTAAAGAAAAACTGCTAAAACTGCGAACCTCGGTGTCCATACGTTTTAATTCAATTTCATGTTGAAGGGTCCGTTCCAGCGTCTTTTCCTCAGCTTCGATTTTTAAACGAGCCAGGCGTAGTTTTAGCCGAGCTCCGGTGAGCGGTGAGCTGGCAGGACTAGCTCCAGGCGAGACGGAAGCTGGAGGCGATTGGTCAGCTGAGGAGGGCGGAGCTGACGCAAGGGTCTCCCTCTTCTGGATGAGCTGGCCCTTTTCCTCATCCGAGGGCGGCGGAGACACATCAGGAGTAGATGGCGGAGGGAGGAGCCCCTGTGTTTCCAGATAATCCACCAACAATTTTCGAAGAGCCGCCTTGGTGAGCTGCTTCGGAAGGGGGAGACTGAAATGGGCGGCAACATGCTGCAGATTGGCTTTGCGGCAACTCTCCAGAAGCCGACGTGAAGGAGCCGCCACAAATGCGTGCAGGTCGAAGGTTGCCATGTTCTGCCTCTAAGGGACACAAACGCAATGGTAATATTGTTACACACACCTAAAAATAAGTCGAGAAAGATGGTAAATAATGAAAAATCCCGGACGAGCCCCCACGTTATTACGTCCCCGGCTCTAGGAGAGATGAGGAGGGGAGTAATAAATGTGGTGTGTGGATTCAACAATAACAAAGTGCAGTGTCGCTTAAAAACAAGGATTTATTACAAGAAACAAGTGAAATATTTACAAAGAACCCAAAAGCCAATACTATATACAAAAAAGGAGAAATGAAAAGCGCCACCCCAGAAGGGGGTGGGAAGAAAACCGAGAGTAATACATTGATAAATACAAAAGGGGAGATCCGAGGTCAAAGTCTAAAGCCAGTCCGACGTCAAATTACCAAATTGTCTAATCCTAAATCCAAATCCAAATTCCAAAAACAGAGAGCACCAAAGACTAACTATAACAAATTTACCAAGAGATCAAGCAATGAGAAGAGAATAGCTTAAACTCCAGAAGAGTCTAAACTATCCTGTACCTTCTCAGAGAACTGATGGCTGTGGGGCAGCCTTTAAAAGCTGTCTAGTAATTATCTCTGATCAAAGACAGCTGGGCACCGGGAGACAGGCGAGGCAAAGGCCACTAAGGCCATCTTGTGGCCGAAAAGGGGCAAGGCACGTAACGGTGTGAAAAAACAAGTGAACTTGGTCTTTAAAGGAAAAGAACTTTAATATTATTTATTATTGTTTACAGACTTCAAACTAGTCAAAGCATCCCTTAAAAACCTGATTACAATTAAAAGTTGTTTTAATTTTTGACATGAAATCATTATTTCTAGAAATGGTATCACTTAAAATGTGATGATTATCTTTTGATCAAGGCTCCAGGTGTCTCCTAAGTTTTGACCTGCTGTCTTCTGACCTTTGTTCCAGGACGGATTACTTTAGAAACTTTATTGACTCTTGCCTTCAGAAAATCCCACAGGACAGACCACATTCTGATGACATGTTGGGTGTAAGTACACACACACACACACACACACACACACACACACACACACACACACACACACACACACACACACACACACACACACACACACACACACACACACACACACACACACACACACACACACACACACACACACACACACACACTGTAGAAAGAAGACAGATGTAATTACTGTAAAGATGTGACTTCTGCACTCACCGTTAGGTAACTGATCAGCTGTCACATATCCCGCTAATGACACTTAGGCTCACGCTTGCTAATGGAGGCTGTGGAGAACAGAAGCTCTGCTCACTGTCTCTTTTTCTTAAACATTTGTGTCCAACACGGCCATCTTGATCAAAATTTGCAACTATCAGAGTCTCATTATGGCTCCCTCAGAATAACATTTTGTGCAATATTGTCTAAATTGATATATCAGCTACAGATGGAAAGGCATAAAAAATGTCTAAATGTGTCCCGTTTATGCGTGCACATCTCAAAATGATCTTACTCCAGAATGTTTCTGTTAAATCAGATGTTTAATTACACAATAGTGTCAAAATGAGTTCAGTTGAGTCTCATGTTGCTCTGTTGTTTTCCTTCTGTAACTTGTAAATTAATTATGTTTTTTCTTCCTTCCCTGAAGCATGCGTTTCTGCAACGTGAACGCCCAGACTCCGTGTTGATGGATCTCATTCAGAGGACCAAGGATGCAGTGCGAGAGCTGGATAACTTGCAGTACCGCAAGATGAAGAAGATCCTCCTCCAGGAGGATCACAAAGGACAAACCACAGAAGTCCAGGATGGAGATGAGGTGTGTGAATGTTTCTGAGTTCAAATCAAGACTAAAGCAGAACAAAACATTTGATTTGCGTTGCCATAGTGATTTATTTTCCCCTTCATTCAGAGAAAATGATTAAGCATACACTGGTTTGTGTGCATGTCTCTTTTTCCTGTGCATTCTGTGTCTTTCGGTCTTCCCCTTGTCCCCTCTCTGTCTTTTCTCTCTCCCTCGCCGTCCTTCTTGTGTACTCTTCCCACTCTGCTCTAGGACCTGGAGTTGGGCGGAGGTCGTACAGGGACAGTAAACAGCGTCGGCAGTAATCAGTCCATCCCCAGCATGTCCATCAGCGCCAGCTCCCAGAGTAGCTCCGTCAACAGCCTAAACGAAGCAGCGCAGGACAGCCGCAGTGAGCTTGACCTGATGGAGGGAGACCACACAGTCATGTCTAACAGCTCTGTCATACACCTCAAACCGGTGGGTGGAGTGAGACTGATGTAATTAAACAGGGATTTACACTTTGTTGTAATAAACGTGACGATTTGAAAGACAAAATTAATTATTCTAGGAATTTAATTGGTGCCATATATGGGCCATTCCCATCTGTACCGGGTCGGCCCGGGCCGGGTAGCGTAGGTTGTTTACATATCTGGGTGGCCTGGTATTTTTCCGGGCCAACCAAGGCTCATTCTCAGCCCTCTTCTCGAGAGGGTCTGCTTCAGGCCGACCAGGGCCAACACACCCACTGCTGACAGCAAATTCACACCTTCCATTAGAGCAAGCCTCTGATTGGTGGGTAGAATCAGCCCACATGGGCTTAAGACAAGGATGCGTGGAATCAACCGGGCCAGGCTTGGGCCAACTGGGGCTACCCGGCCCGGGCCGACCCGGTACAGATGGGAATGGCCCAATAAATTCCTCTTTGGGCCACAAATGGCCCCTAGGCCACACATTGGACATCACAGTGAAATTACTTTTGTCTTCTAGCTTCTAGTAAAACAAACATGTTGTTGATCACACACGAGCACGTCTCCAAGGAAACTGCATCAACCTTCCAGTTATTGCTATTAGACGACAGCAGAGGGAGCACCAACACCTGTTTTCCAATTCATGTATGTTTTTGTTTGTTTTAAAACTCATGAATTGGACTCATTTTCTATAATTGTGACAATTTTTTTACCGACAAGGAGGAAGAGGAGAGTCTCTCTGCAGAGCAGGCAGCCACCAGTCAACCTACTGAGCCACAGGCAACACCAGCTCAGCCTCCGAGGAAGCACTATCGCAACAGAGAGCACTTTGCTACCATACGCACAGCGTCACTCGTGAGATGCTAGTTTACTCCTCCATCTATTGCACTGCCTTTACTTCCTGGAGCAACACTAACATGGTGGCCTCCACATCCTGCAGGTGACCCGTGAGATGCAGGAGCATGAGCAGGACTCAGAACTGAGGGAGCAGATGTCGGGGTACAAACGCATGAGGCGGCAGCATCAGAAACACCTGATGGCGCTGGAGAACAAGCTGAAAGGAGAGATGGACGAGCACAGACTGAGGCTGGACAAGGAGTTGGAGAGTCTGAGGAACAACTTCACTCAGGAGATGGAGAAGCTGCTTAAAAAACACCAGGCAGCCCTCGAGAAAGATGTACACAATCAATTTAACACACCCACAATTCACACCGAAGCATACACTGATCATTGTTGTTGTTTTGGGATGTAGCTGAAGACGTTTGCCAACGATGAGAAGAAGTTCCAGCAGCACATTCAGGTTCAGCAGAAGAAAGAGCTCAGTAGCTTTTTGGAGTCACAGAAGAGGGAATATAAACTCCGCAAGGAACAGCTTAAAGAGGTAATCTAAAGGTTTTAGCTACAAGAACAAAATAAATCATCACTGTTTTAATCAAAATCTGTATGATGCTAAATTCTCTGCAGGAACTGAGCGAGAACCAGTCAACTCCCAAAAAAGAGAAGCAGGAGTGGTTGTCCAAGCAGAAGGAAAACATTCAGCATTTCCAGGTCGGTGTGTCTCAACAGAAGGCAGGAGTGTTATTTTTTAAATCATCAAGACTGAAAAAAATGCAAAACCGTGCGTGCTCATGTTTGACCCCACTTCCAATTCTTCACTTGAAAAAAACGAGTTAGCTTCTACTTCTGAGTTTTTTAAAAAAAAAAAAAGGTTTGAATATTTTTCTGTAATCTGTTCAAATCCAGGCAGAGGAGGAGGCCAACCTGCTGAGGAGACAAAGGCAGTACCTGGACCTGGAGTGTCGGCGGTTCAAACGCAGGATCCTCATCGCCAGACACAACGTGGAGCAGGATTTGGCTAGAGAGGTCAGCAGAGACACAAGAATCTTCCCTTTCCTCTGCTACTTTGGGCTTAAAAAAAACAACCTTTTGTGTTTTTCAGGAGTTGAACAAGCGGCAAACTCAGAAGGACTTAGAACATGCGATGCTGCTCAGACATCACGAGTCAATGCAGGAGCTGGAGTTCAGGCATCTGGCAACGATCCAGAGGGCCCGGGCCGAGCTGATCCGGACCCAGCACCAGACCGAGCTCACCAACCAGCTCGAGTACAACAAGAGGAGAGAGAGGGAGCTGAGGCGCAAACACGTCATGGAGGTCCGACAGCAGCCCAAGAGCCTGAAGGTGCAAAGAATGTCCTGCAGCCTTAGAGAAACCATAAACACAAACCCTAACAGTAGTTCTGCTCACTGCATATATGTATATTCTTCTATTTTAGTCCAAAGAGCTGCAGATTAAGAAGCAGTTCCAGGAGACGTGTAAAACCCAGACAAGGCAGTACAAGGCGCTCAGGAACCATCTGCTCGAGACCACACCAAAGTCTGAGCACAAGGCCGTGCTCAAGAGGCTGAAGGAGGAGCAGACCAGGAAGCTGGCCATCCTGGCCGAGCAGTACGACCACTCCATCAACGAAATGCTCTCCACACAGGCTGTGAGTCACCGAGTTCTCACATTTCTCTCTAAGTACTGGATTAAAGTAAAAATACAAACATAATTTTTGTAAAGAAACCATTTTCTGACTCTTTTTGACTCAGCTGCGATTGGATGAGGCTCAGGAGGGGGAGTGTCAGGTTCTGAGGATGCAGCTGCAGCAGGAGCTGGAGCTGCTTAATGCCTACCAGAGTAAGATCAAGATGCAAACAGACGCCCAGCATGATAAGGAGAGGAGGGAGCTGGAGCAGAGGGTGTCTCTGAGGAGGGCTCTACTGGAGCAGAAGGTAAGGCTGGGTCATTAAAAGGGACAAATAGCAACATTTTTTTCATATTTTTAAAATTTCTTGAGCCAGTATGTGCTAAAATGACCCTTTACAGGTTTAATGAAAGGCCACTCAGCCCCTATTGCCCCATGTGGCAAGAATATTGCACGTGCAACTTCACAGTTGCCAGTCTGCTGAGACTTAGAAAAAATTGAGCTGAGGTACCTGATGCTGCTGTCTGGCGTCAGCATGTTTCCTGCATGTTTTAGATCATGAACACAGCTGATCAGTTTAATTTAGTGATGACTCACTCCTCTAGACACTTAGGAAGGCTGGGAGACGTTTCAACTGTTAGATAAAGGTGCTAAAAAGACGTGCACAGTGTGGAGATAGTCTTCTACAAATGAACACTAGGGGGTAGTAACACCTTTCAGAGTTCTGATCATGATATGTATTCATGTTTTTTTCCCTAGATCGAGGAGGAAATGCTCTCCCTGCAAAACGAGCGTTTGGAACGAATCCGCTCCCTGCTGGAGCGCCAGGCCCGAGAGATCGAGGCTTTCGACTCCGAGTCGCTGCGGTTAGGCTTTAGCAACATGGTGCTCACTAACCTGGCTCCTGACTCCCAAGGAGGCTGGGGAGGAGGAGGAGTTGGAGGAGGCCAGGGCGGTCAGGGCGGTGGCCAGTGGCCAGGAGGAGGCGGTGGAGGCGGCAACCACCATAGTCATCACCACCAGGGAGGCTCCAGCTCACAGCAGCAGCAGCCCTGGGGTCACCCCATGCTGTCCGGTGGTCCTCCGCCCTGGAGCCTCCACCATCCTGGAGGAGGTAGTCAGAGAAGCAGTCAGGGAGGAGCAGGAGGGGTGAAGAACAGCCCACAGGCTACGAGGAGGACGTCATCGGGGGGGAGGAACGAACAGGGCATGAGCAGAAGCGCCAGCATCACCTCTCAGATCTCCAATGGGTCACCCCTGTCGTACACTTAGAACACTGTCCTGTCGTTTCCCACAATGCACCTCTGACCACAGCAGTGAGACAGGGTTTTCCACTGTGGAATCCTAGAGGAGTGGAGGCTGAGACGGCGGAGGGCTTTTTCATTTCCATTGTGCCACTGAGTAGTTTTCATTCCAGCTTTCTCTGTTTTCTCTGTCTTGCTAACGTACGCCTCTGTTGCCATATGGCCTCGCTGGTGTGTGCCCCACAGAGTTTTACTTTTAGTTTGAAGTCATTTTTCCACATCTAAGCTTTTGACAAAATCACACGTAAAACAGAAAAGTGGAAAAGATGGAAAATGGAAGTCATGAGTTACTATCAGTGTTTTTGGTAGTAGAAGACGAACTGTTTGAGCAGCATGGATCAGAATCAGGAAGTCCAATCAGCTGCTTTAGAGCTCTAGGAGTCACGACGGTGATGGCGATCATAAGAGGAATGTGTTGGGTTTGAATTAACCGCTCATGCCACAATACCGTTCAGTATTTTTAAGTTCAGTGCAGTGTTGAGTCACTTAGTGACCAAGTAGAAGTTTCTCCTTCACCCTCAGCCTGATCGGATCGGCTCCCGGGTTTCCACAGACTTCCACCCTGTCTCTCATCCAGAATGCTAGGATGAGGCCCACAACTAGGTGGATTTTCAGCAAAAATAAACCGTCTTCACTTGATCGCAGTTATTAACTTTGGTGATGGAAGATTCTTCTAGTCAGAGCCGAGCCTGGTAGTCAAGCAGAGCTCAGCCACACACAAGCTAGAGATTTTTATTTTAGAGTCGAGCCGTTTGTAAACTTGACTGTTGGATGGATGCATGAACAGGGAAAAGTGTAAAGAAAACACCACACAGAGCCATCGCTGGGTAAAATAATAATAAAATATAATTGTAAAAGAAGAAACAGAGTGAAGAGGAGGAGCTTCTGCTGAGTGTCTGAGTGGACTGATGAGGGGTGATGCTGTGATCTCTGCTGTCGTGCCCCTGTGATCCCCTCCTCCCCCGATCTGACCTCCCACTCTGCTTCACCCCCCTGACGACTGAAGCGTCACCACCTGGCCTCCGACCTCCCTGCGTCCCTCCACCTTCTGCTCCTTTCTCTCCGGAGTCTTCTCATCTATGCCGGCCTCTGACTGGAGAACGAAAAGCTCTAAATGTTTATAATATAAATCTATACAAAATAGAGGATTTTAGAGATGAACGTCTTATTGTGAATTGCAGAGATTGTACATTGCGATTTATCCGAGGTGAACTGTACAGCCGCCATGTTAATATTGTACAGTTTGAATCTGAACATATGGAAATTTAAACGACAAAGACACAAAGTAGTGCAGCAGTTAGACGAACATTGTTACAGCTGAACTGTTGAGAATAACTCGCCTTTAGGTCAGATTCAGCAAGCAACATAGTTTTGTTTTCTAGTGCGAGAATGATTTTGCACATCATTTGAAATCTAGTTGGGTGTAGCCTTTTCGTTTGCATCGGCTGTGTTACACTGACACCACATTACAGCCGATTGACCTTTTCTGATCGAGTTCTTAGAAGAAGATAAAAAAAAAACACTCAGGCCTATAATTAAGTTTTAGAAAGCTAAAGAAATAAGTGTCTGAAACTGAGCATTTCTGGTGCAACTTCAAGTTGCTTTCAGATTCCTGCATGAGGCTGAAAATTTGTTTTTCTGGTTAGAAAAAGAAAAGCTCCAATGATGATATTTAGGAACTGGTTTCTGATCAGTGACACATGCAGTCTGCACTTAGTTATTTGCCTTTAAAACAGAAAAAAAAGTTGCCATCAATCATGTTAGTTTTATGAGTTTAAAATGCAATCTTGACATTTTTACCTGCTTGTCAATGTTGGTCTTTTTATGAGATGGTGTATTTTGGGGCCACGGGAAAAATAAAACTGTGTAGGTAGATTTTGAGAATTAAATGAAAATCATGATAATAAAGTTGTTGCTTTTGAGATTAAAATAAAAATACCCCACTAAACTAGCACTGGAGCAAAGAGCTACGCTAGCCGTAGTATCTCGAGTGACTGATCCATTTACTTCTCAACAGAGATTATTGTTAAATACATTGTTTTTCACCATGTTTAGGCTCAAGTATTTGTTTTATAAAATAAATTATTAGTTTTAGGGAGATTTTCAGGTACGTGTGTATGTTTAGACTCTTATTTTGAAGGATTAAAGGATCTATGTGATCAATGCAGCTGCAGAAGTTGAGACCTGGTTTATTCAACTAAACAATTTTTTCAAATTTAATCTCAAAATCTTCTATTTATTTTCAGTTGCCGAACATACTCTGCCGCAGACTTTTAATCCCATAAAGTTTATTTTATTTAATTTTCCAGTAGTTTTTTGCAGAGGGCCAAATAAGAAGCTAGAGCTCATTTTGTTTACAGGAGTTTCTATTTTTTATTACAAGGGGGCCAGAGTCTAGCTTTAGACCTTGGTCACTCTGAACTGGATCAGTTGCACTGATTGCACAAGTAGCTGTCCAGATTTAGGAGTCTACTGTGACATGCTGAAGGGGGAGGAGCCAGGCGGCGGCTGGTGTTGGCTGAAGGGAGGCGGGGTCACGTCTCTGTACAGTCGGTTTATCAGTATTCCTTTTATTCTTCCTGTCATTTTGGTGAATCTTGCTGTTTTATTCTCCCTGGTCCAGAGATCTGTATTAAACTGTAATAAATTGTAAAGATTGTGGAAAAAAAGACAAAAAAATAAGCTGAATGTTGCATAGCAGAAGAGAAACGAGATATTCCTTCAGACAATTGATTTAAAAGTGTATAAAATAAACTGAGTGGCAAGGTTTAGGAGATAAATGTAATATTTTGTTTGTAATTACTTTTTTTTTCGTTGGAAGAGGGCTACTGGATAAAGAATCATCTGTAATAAAGTAATTTTAATATTTCTCTGTTTTGGGGTGTTTTGTGTGAGAACAGAGTTCAAAGTTCATATGGAATTTTTAGGGAGATCTTTAATGCAAACAAGATGAGAAAAACTTTAAAACAATACAGGTAGATGTTATTGGTCCTCAGCGTGTGTAGGACCTCCTCCAGGTGAAGTTCCTCCTCTCTTCTTCATCCACCCGGTTCTGTTCAGGCACCTGTACTTTCGGTTTCCTTGTCATGGTTCCTCTCCTTCGACGTGAAGACGCTGTGGCGTTCATCCTGTTTCTTGGCCCAGTTTGACCGGTTATTTCTACGGGGCTCCTCCAGCTCACCCCATCCCTCTCTCCTTCTTTCAGGAAGTCGGCAACCACTTTGAAGTACTCCAGAACTACAGCATGACTCCAGATACCTCCATCATCCTCATTTATTGTTCTCCCATCATGCATCTGCTCGCTGCCCTCTTGGGAGAACCCACAGTGGCCTCCGCGGTCCGTTAACAACAGGAGGAAGTAAGGGTTGCTGAGGAAGAGGGAAATGGGAAGGGTGGAAGCAGGTGGAAGGAGAGGGTCGTCCTTGCTGCAGATGCAGAGAACAGGGACTTCCACTTCATCTGCATCTCTCAGAGGTTCGTTCCTCTCCCAGTAGCTCTCCCAGTTTGTAACTGGGTAAGCTCTTTCGCCCAGCATCCAGGCCACTGCAGGTGTGAGGCCCCTTAGGGAGGAGGACCCAGAGTTTGAAGAGACACCTGGAGATGTTTCCTGTTGGAGTTTATCTGGAGAGCAGAAAAGAGCTTCTTCAAAGTATCTGAGGCTGGAGCAGCTGAGGGCCCGGTCCACATCTAGAACTCCTCTGAAGGAACTCTCATATCTTAGACCAAAAACATGCAGGTTTAGGATCTTTACTTTGGTCACGTATGTCACATGTATTAATTTCTCTCACCTGCTGAGCTGCATCTTCCGGTGAAAGAGCGTGGCCCAGCGATAAAGAGGAAGCATGGGGGTTTGAAACCACAGCTGCCCCAGCAGCACTGGGGAGATGGCTGCAGCCGCTGTCAGGTGGGAGCTGGAACCTCGCTCACCCAGGTAGGAGAGCAGAACCCCAGAACCAGAACCTTCACTCACAGCGACCAGAGCAGAGGAGGGGTGGCGACTGTGGACATACAACACTGCCTGAAAATGGATGACTTCATCACTCACAGGTAAAAGTAAAGCATTCGCCAAAATGGATCAAATTCTTTTTTTTCTACCTCTTCCAAATCAGCCGGGTCTCCAAACTCAGCCAGTCTCGTCGTGGTCAGCGGCGACCCAGCGCTCCCTCGATGGTGAAACACCACCACGTAAAAGCCCTGTTGCATGGCCTGGTGGCACAGCAGCTTTAAGTGGGGGGTCATCCCTCCCCAGAACTGAGGGATGAGGAGCAGGACAGGAGGTGTTGAGGTGAAGCAGCCAAGTGCCTTCCTCCCGTCTAACTTCCTCTTCATCACCACCTCACTAAGTCTTGTCCCCACGGCCCAATCCAGAGCCACGATCCCCCCGTCTTTCAGTAACAGGTGGTCTCTGGTGAACTGTATGTGGTCTCCATCTTGTCCCCACAGCTGGCTGGACACCGTCTGGATGTGAGGGTCTCCTCGGGGCCAGGTGGCGAGTTTGGACTTTGTCAGAGAGCCACAGTGCTGCAGAAGATATCTAGCTAGCGCGGTGTGCTTACAGATAAGTCTGGGTCCATCTGAGGTCTGATCTGACTTAATGTCTGCCTCGGGTGGCTTGACCTCTTTGCTCCATGCTCTTGTGTTTCTGTGCAGCGGCAGCTCCAGGATCAGACAGATGATGACCCAAAGTCTCCAGGCTGCTGCTCGGACAGTCAGCCTCGTCCAGCAACGTACTCTGGGCCGGCGGTGACACAGAGACAGCAGGAGAAGACAGAAACACGGGAGCAAACAGAACAAACAATCCCACACAAACGATGCCATGGGTCAGCACAGAGTGGAGATAAATCCTGATTGTTTTCACCCTGAGGTCTTTCTTCACCTCCAGCCTGACATGTTCTCATCAACCTGTCTAAAGCTTGGTTTTAAACAAGAAGGAAATTTTTGGAGAAAATGGGAAAAACAATGTTCCTCACTGACAAAAACTCAAAAAAAAATGAAGAAGAAAAAAGAACAGGAGCAAACACTCCTCTCTTTCTCCTCCCTCCATTAATCATTTACTACAAGGTCATATAGAAACAAGGCAAACACAGACCCCATAAATCTGAACCATTAATAACACACGAAAATAAGGTTTGGTCATTAAACGTCTTTGGACAGAGCTACTGCACAGACTGATTATTTGGATGCTTCCAGTGAACTCTAGTCCTCATTTATGGAAAAATAAATGACCCCCCCCCCCCCCCCCCCAGCCAACAAGAAAAATTGAGGTTGACGTTCAATTTTAAGCTTATTGAGTATTTGAATGGGTACAGTCAAGCTGTTTGATGTGCATTTTAATCTTTTATTTAAAATCATATTCTTACATTGTAGTTTTTGTTTTATAAAATATTTTAAATCCATTTTTATTTAAATAAAGAAAAGAGCACTGAAGGATTCAGCCTTTTGTGTTTTTCTAATTGTGTCTTTGTTCTGCTGAACAATCAGCACACAGTGAAAGTGAAGGATTGTAATCATTGCTCGTTTTTATTTGCATGTCCGTCAGTACATTAACCTTTTATTTTTGTTGATCAGAATCAGAGTGCTTCGTTTTTGTTATGTTTGTTCAGTGTTTTTAATCCGATTTAATTTCTTGTGGTTCTCCAGTGCAAAAAGATCTTGTTTTTATCTTTGCTGACATGTTTGTTGTCTGCCACCTTCATCAGAGCAGCTGCCACTGCCGCCCCCCCCCCCCCCCGCCCCCCCACAGCAAAACCAAGTTATGGAGACGATGTGTTAAAATGTATTCCTTTTTTTTTTTTTTTTTTTTTTTACCGTGTCCTGTCTGGCTGTGAAGCAAACAGAATTGATGTCTGAATGCTGGTGACAAGCCTTACAGATTTACTCTCAGGTGGAGCATCAAAGCGTCTGCTTTTAATGTCACGCCTGATACTTAAAACTTTATTGCTGTTGTTTTTGAATGCTTTGTAATTCCGACCAGACACGGAGACAGAGGTGAAAGAGAAAGGAAATGACAAGGGGGTGGGGGGGTGGGGGGGGGTTCCACAAAAGTGAACAATAATGAACAACAGTCTGCTTCTAGATCTGCAGAAAAAGACAAAAAAAGCAAAAGAACAAAAAAATGGGACACAACAACAATTCAACAAGATCAAGCTATCACTGCGTCAACTTGATGAAGAAATATATAATCAACATTGTTTAACTGAACAATCACACGATAATAAATCACAGTGCATTAAGTGCCCACCATAGTCTTAAGACCTGTGTTTAACGTGCCCAAGCCCATACTTTTGAGAGCACCATGTGCACACCTGTGTGTGTACACGCGCTTGTTTATGCAAGGTTTCTCTATAGGAGCGTCCAACAGAGAGTGTGAGGGACCACAGATCCGCCTCCCAAAGATGCGTAGGAGACGGGGGGAGCTCCAAGTCCCAGAGATCCAGGCACTGCCCCAGAACACAGGAACCCCAAGGAGACTGCAACCAGAAAGCCCCCCCCCCTCGAGAGGCACAGAGGATCGCCCTGGGGCGCCACAACCAGCAGCCGGCAGAGTCCTGGGAGATATCAGCGGCAAGCCTACAGGCCCGCCCGCCCGCAGCCTCCCACCCCCCAGCCGGCCGAGCCCGGGACCCAGCGACCCGGGACCCAGGGGCGACCACCCCTGCCGGGGACCCAGCAGAGCCCAGGGACCCAGACCCCACCAGGCAGCCACCGGGATTGATCAGACAGATGCCAAAAATCTTAAAACCCCCAGACCCGGTTGCCACGAACACTCAGGCAGACCAAGGCACAACCCCCCACACCAGGTGTGGCAGGGGGAGGGGGACGAAGATCTATATCATCAAAAGAAGTTCCAGGAGAGGGGAGGAGTCAAAGGCCCCACCTGACATATACAGTCATACACAAACACAGTCACACACTCCCTCCCTCATGCTCACACATGCACATACAACCCAAGACTTACAAAAATGCGCGCCGGACATCCACTCATGCTCCCCATACACACCCTATTCACTCTGGTCCTGGTACTGCTGCACATTGGGTACAACCATCACCGGCAACCAGAGTTTAACCCTTTCTGCTGGGGTGCTGATGAGCAGGCTCCCCCACCCAACGCTGAGCACAGCAACCCACCACCCCAGACCCCAACCAGATGGCCAGATCTCCCTCCTAGCCTCCAGCCCCAGGAAGCCAGCTCCCCCACTGGCCCCACTAGGCACCTCTGTTGTCAAACTGCCGCCCAGGGCATGGAGACCCCAGCCCATCCTGCCAGGGCCCAAAGCAGCAGCATTACAGAGCCTCACGGAGTCCGAGGGCACCAACCCAGCCCCACCCCAGCAGAATATCTATGCCCATCCCTGCATTTGCACAACTTCCAGAATATATAAGACATAGGACATCCAGGTAAGGTTGGGTCCTCCCCCTCCTGGATCTCCCCCTCCCCTGTGATGGGACAGCAGAGGAGCCAAGGTCTACCTGAGGCCCCTGAACCCGGGCCAGGCACTGCTGCATGTTCCTGCCTTCTTCCCGGCAGCATACATTTCAGGACCCGACCCCCAAGGCCCCACCCAGATCCCCACACGGGGCCGGCCACCCCAATACCCTGAGCCCCCAGCCCCCACCCAGACCCGCCCAGGGACAATGCAGCTGCCAGGCAGTGACCCATGGCCGCCGCCAAGACCTCCAAGGGGCCCCACTCACAACCACCAGTAGTCCACCCCCCGAGGCAACCCAAGCACCTCCAGAGGGGGGTAACGGCCCCCCAGTCCCAGACATCCCCAGTGAACCCACCCCCAGGGAACATCCAGATACTCCAAACTCAGACCCTCCACCCCCATCATCCCGCAGGACAACATCAACGGTCCCCCATCATCGCTGTGTGATGGAACCGATCAAAGGAGCCCAGAGAGATTGATTTGAAGTGGAAGCAGAGGCTAAATCAAGTGTAATATGATCTAACAAAAGATTTCTATACTGGTTAATGCAGAGAGTTTCTCTATTTTTCAAATTCAAGAGGATAGTTTTCTTAGCGATGCATATGGCAGTCAGAACCACGTGAACCAAAGATGTTTCAATCGGGACATCATCCAGGTTTCCCAGTAAACAAAGAGAGGGGGTGGTTGGGATATGACATTTCAGAGACTTTGACAGGTCTTCACTCACTCTACCCCAAAATTCCTGGACAGGTGGACAGGACCACAGTGCATGAATGTAATTGTCAGGAATGTTGTTTGTGCAGTGTGTACAGGTGTCAGACGACACAAACCCCATCTTGAACATCCGATGACCTGTATAGTGTCAAAAAGTGCCGGTGAGTGAGACTGAGGTTAGGATCCACACGCGGGTGAGGAAGGAGGCAGGCAGGAACATTTAAAGGGTTTTAATGAGACACGCAGGACAATGAAACAATGAACCAACCAGACAAAATGGACTAACAGGGTTTAAATACAGGAGGAGCTGGGACCTTGGGTGATTGGGAGACGAGAGGCAGGTGGGAGCAATTAACATGAACACAGGACTGAATCGAATAGGGAGACAGAACAGGGTGTGACATATAGTGTATTCTGTGTAGAATTTTGTACAGAATTAATTGTAAATTGGAGTGTCTGATCATTTTAAAAGTTTTTAAACAAGTTTGGGACCAGAAGTTCTGGTCAAAGCTGACTGATAGATCCACCTCCCATTTTTCAATAGGGATTACTATTCTAATGTCTATTTTGGACAGTGTCTTATATACTTTAGACAGTAGTTTGGGGGGTTTGAGATTATAGAAGTCTAATACCCTTGGTGGTGTTTGTAATTCTATTTTATTGAGCTTAAATTTTTGTTTGACTACAGATTTAATTTGGTGGTATTCTAAAAAGCTATTCTTATCTATTCCAAATTGGATGACTATTCTATTAAATGGGATGAAGTCCAATCCTTCATATATGTGTTCCAGGTATGGGATTCCTTTATTTTTCCAGTCCGGAAGGTTCATCATTTTATTATTTTGCAAAATATCAGGATTATTCCAGATAGGTGTGCGTCTGCATGGTACTAGTGAAGACTCTGTCATTTTAAGATACTCCCACCATGCTGTCAGAGAGGTGCTGATACTAATACTTTTGAAGCCTTCATGTTTTCTTATGCTTGAGCTAATAAATGGTAAGTCTGAAAGCTCTATCGTATTGCAAAGTGCCTGTTCTATATCTAACCAAGACTCATCTAGTGGGTTATCTTGCAACCATCTTGGTATATATTGCAGCCTGTTGGCTAAGAAATAATAATAAAAGTTGGGTAGATCCAGTCCTCCTCTGGCTTTGGTCTTCTGAAGCGTTTTTAAGCTAATTCGTGGAGGTTTATCCTGCCAAAGGAATTTAGAAATTGAGGAGTCCAGAGATTTAAACCAGTCAGCGGTGGTTTGTTTGGGATCATTGAAAATAAGTAATTTATTCTGGGTAAGACCATCATTTTAATTGTAGCAACTCTCCCCATGAGTGATATTGGTAAGGATTTCCATCTTGCAAGATCATCTTCCACTTTCTTTAAAAGTGGAATGTAGTTTAGTTTGGTTAGATCTGCTAACTTGGGAAAGACATTAATTCTCAGGTATGTGATATTCCCTTACTCCAATTGTGTATTAAGTAAATTGACAAAAGAGAAATTAATTGGTAGAACTGTGGATTTTAACCAGTTTATAGAGAAACTTTTGAAAAAGAGTTTATCAGTTCTATTGAATGAGAGAGAGATGATTTAGAATTCATGAGAAAGAGTAAAACATCATCTGCATAAAGACTGATCTTATGTTCTATTTTCTTACACTTCATCCCTTTAATGCCTGTTGTTTGCCTAATTGCTGGTAAAGGAAACACAATTTTATGATTTGCTGAAATAATCTGATCAGTGCACACATAAGTGAGCAGATTCCTCTCTTTAAAGGTGGTAATGCTAGTCTGATTGTCACACTAATTGGGAGTGGCTCTGCCACGGTAACAGAGGTCACTCTGGTTGAGTCTTCTGGTTCAGGTCAAGTTAAGAGCACCATGGCCACTCAAGGTGGAGGACAGCTCCTTTTATGGTTTGATTCAATCCCATCGTTTGAGTTTGTGGTTCTTCTGAAGGGTCGTAACATTTACAGCATCTCCAGAGCAGCTTCAGAGATCTTCCAAAGGCAGTCCTCCACCAGCCTGAGAGCTTCTGCTCTCACTGTTACTGCTGTAAGCAAATGCTCCCATCTTATTTTGTAATCTTATCTGTGATTTTTACTCCAGTGGACTTTGCATCTTTCTTTTCTTCTGTGTTTTAGGGTAATTCTGATACTTCCTTGAAGCCAGGAACACCACAGTCAGTTCCCTTCTCTGTGACCACAAGTGGTGTAGGAGGAAGTTTCGCCATCCAAGCTACCAATGATCAAGGTTTTAATATAAGTTTCTCATCCAGTTTGTTTCTGGATGCTGGAGGTAGTACTAATGGTACAGTAAACATCACAGCACCTCCTGACACCCAGTCTGATACCAGTGTCACTCTGACCATTGAGGCTACAGCACCAGGAGGTGCAGACACCAACTATGCTGTGCTCTGTTTAATCGTCCTTCAACTGGTAACATTTGGGCAAGAAACACACACATAAAAGCATCATAGGAGCTAAATGTTCATTTATTCTAGTTGTCACACTTTTACCCTCACAGGTGACTGATTTCACTCAGCCATCATGTCAGCTGCTCAGCCTGCAGGCCAACTGCTCTGACAACTGCAGACTGTCAGTGTGGGAGCTCTCTGTCCAGGTCAGTGACGGAGTTAATGGGACGGGTGTGGCGAGTGTCAACATCAGACAAGGCAATGGCACCTTCAACAGCAGCAGTGTGATTGGTAGTGAGAACAAAACTGTGGTGTCTTACGTGGCTTCCTGCTGCTCACCTGAAGTGCAGCTGGTGGCTGTGGATCAGGTGGGCAACGTGGAGGTGTGTAGCTATTCTGTTCGTAACACCATCACACCAACGGCCACACACGCTGTCACAGAGGCTTCATCAACTGTTACAGCAACCACATCATCTTCATCTTCTAGCATTGTTCAGGCTGTCCTTTTTTGCTTTGACTTTTCATTCCTGGGGTTTATTATTCAGTCTGGGGGTTTAGGGTAGAAATAACATATTATCTCTGGGATAACAAATCAGTTAATCATTATAATAACAGGTACCTGGGGAAAATTGAATGGTAAATCTGTTGTGATTCCAACTATAATATATTTGTTACATGTGCTTAGGTGTTTGTAGAGAGGACATTTTATGCAAAACTCACTGCTGAAATTGCTTTGTGTGACAGGGATCTTCTGCAACAAGATCTTATAGATCTTGGAATTATTGTATTTAAGGGACTATGTAAAATCCACTTTTTGGAGCTTTTGCCCATGTTATATTGTTATTTCCTCATGAAAAATACCCCAAAGCATCTTGTGGTTTCACAGATTAATTTTCCTGTCTCTGCTGCTTCTTTTCTTGAGCTCTGCTAAGCTATTGCAAATGCCTGGAAGGGGCATTTTTTCATCATCATGCCCCACTTCTCCCTATCCAGGTGTTGAATCCTGCTCCCCCTTTCCCTGGACTGTAAACACTAACCCCCAGTCTCTGTGTAGCAGGGAGTTTAATCTCCACAGTTGTGAAAAAGTGATTTAGTTCTCTACTTGCTCTGTAACACCTGGAACCCGAAAATGCATTTTTTCTGTGAATCTGAAGATCCATGTCCAGTCTTACTTATTATTTAATCAGCAGAATGGGCTGTAACTTCAGGAGATCTTAAAATCCAAACCACATTGTGACCAGGATTTCCAATGGGTTACTTCGTCAAAATGATGCAATTTCCTCGCTAAAACCACTCGTTTGGCAAGAGTGGTCACTACAACCAAATGCTAACTGCTAGCTGAATATTTATAATGACTGGCGGGTGGGCGTCAAAGACGAACTGGGACAATGATTCATTCCAGCTGCCTTTTCTCCAACCTAGTGGTTTGTGTTTGTCAGGAAAAAATTGACATCTTAATAACGCAATTGGGAATATTTTACCATATATTGTTCCTATTGTTGCTCTGGAAGGTGTGAAATAGCTTTGTATAAGTTCCTTTATAAACATTTTAATATGTTCCATTCAAGCCATTCATATTTTATCCAGAATTTGTATTGATAAAGAATTGTGATAAGAAATAATAACTATTAAAATAAACATATAATACAAGTACTCTGGTCATTTTTTTGAAGCCTCTCAGATATTTTTTTATTCATGCTACTTCTTTAAAAAACGTCATCATCCTATTTTGTAACCAGTCTTGCTGTTTGGGTTAGATGCTCATCAAGGGTCAAACCCACAACTGCTTCACATGATCAATCATCAGTTGTCTGAAAACTCCACTGTTTGAAAAATGTTACATATTTGAAAAGGTTTGTCAGGACTGTCTGGAGACGTCCCCTAGAATGCACCATGGAGGCCCTCACCTGGTGGCTCTAGAAGGAAACAAATCATCTCTCTGTCAGTCCTTCACTGCTAAAATTATTCAGCATTTTAGCAGTTTCCTTTCGTCAATACACAGATTAACTCCAGGTTTACTGCTCTTTGAATGAAAATAAGCTGAACAAGATATCGTTCCTGTTTGAGTTTTTGTCTGCGATTAAAACATGGCTGTCGGCCAACTGGCTGAGTCCAGAGAGGCTGGTATCGGCCCCAAAACAATGAGTTCCAGAGCATCAAGGACCTCCATTGTAGCTAGATCCAACAAGTCAGTTGAATCTACACAACCAGGAAGCACTTAAAACTTAGGTCATTGTTTAATTTTAAATGTATTTTAGAAATGAGTATAAATAATTTGAAATGGTATGATCAAGTTATCTGACATGCATTTTATTGTTTATTTATTATAATGTAAAATATTCTAATATTGGAGCTTTTCAATCCATCCATCCACCTGTTTTCATCCGCCTATTCGGAGTCAGGTCGTGGGGGCAGCAGCATAAGCAGGGAGGCCCAGACTTCCTTCTCCCCTCCCCAGCCACTTCAGGCTCCTCCGAGGGAATCCCAAAGCGTTCCACGGCCAGCCATGAAACAATGTCCCTCCAGCGTGTCTTCTGTCTTTTCTTGGGTCTCTTTCATGTTGGACGTGCCCAGCAAACCAGGGAGACATCCAGGAGGCACCCAAATCAGATGCTTGAGCCACCTCAACTGGATCCTATCGATGTGGAGGAACAGCTGATCTAATCACAGCTCCTTCCGGATGACCGAGCTTCTCACCCTATCTCTAAAGGAGAGCCCAGACACCCTGTGAAGAAAACTCATTTCAGCTGCTTATAATCGCAATCTCATTCTTTCAGTCAGTACCTAAAGGTCATGACCATAGGTGAGGGTAGGAAAATAGATCAACCGGTAAAACAAGAGCTTTGCCTTCTGGCTAAGCTCTCCCTTTAACATGATAGATCGGTACAACGCCTGCATTACTGCAGATGCTGCACCAAACTACCTGTTGATCTCACGCTCCACCTTTCTCTCACTCGTCAACAAAACCCTGAGATAACTCAACTCCTCCACTTGGGGCAGGAACCCGTCCCTGACCTGGAGAAGGGATTCTACCCTTTTCCAATTAATTTACACTTTTGTTTTATAAAAATATTTTTGCACTGCAGGCTTCAGCTTTTCATTATCATGTTTTTCTAATCGGCAAACCAGCAGGCATCAAGTTCGTGCTGGACTTTCATCCTCATTAGTCGTTTGTTTGTTCTGCTGAACGACCAGCACAGTCTCGAAACAAACAAGTTTCTACTTCCTGTCATTACTGGAAATGGCATGAAAATTTTTAATCTGTGTTTGTTTTTATTTGTCTGTCAGACATAGCAGCACGCTCACATGTAATTTTTGCCGGTCAGAACAATCAGTTCTCATGAAGACGTTAGAAGTAGTCTCTGGAGATCGAACCCCGATCCGCCGCTTGAGTGACCCTGAGACAGAACCAGAACCAGAACTTAGGATAGGGACAGTTTAGGATCTCCCAGCACAAACTAGAGAGTTTAGCAGGGGAGAGGGAGGTTTGGGTTTGTTACCTCCACCTGACCTTGAACAACATGATGGATGAATGAAGATCTGTCATACTGCTGCCAAGCAAAACAAAGATTTTCTCACGCATTTTTACAAAATGAAAGTGAAAGGATTCTGACCTTGCTCCACCTCTCTCTCTCTCTCGCTCTCTCTCTCTCTCTCTCTCTCTCTCTCTCTCTCTCTCTCTCTCTCTCTCTCTCTCTATCTCACTTTCATTCTCTGTCTGTGTGTGTCTGTGTCCCTCATGGAAAGGAGAAACTATTTTTCTTCTGTGTGTGTACTGTCATCACATCTTTGGAAAAAATTGCGTAAATCTAAAATACCTGCTGGATGCATACAAATGGTAGAGGAAACAAACACAGATATCACAAGTTTTAGGAACACTTCCCTCTACAGTCACTGTAACACACTCTTGGTAAATATCCATTCCTTATCCAAAACCAAAAAAATAAATAATAAAGTTTGACAGGTAGGTCTAGGAATGCTAAATAGTTGAGGACATTTTTAGTGAATAACATGATGTGAAACCACCATTCTTGAACCACTTTTTGTTCCATTATCAATCAATCAATCGATCAATCAATCAAAGCTTTATTTATAAAGCGCCTCCGCAACCCTGTCAGGAAGCCCAAAGTGCTGAACATGGTTCAGTTGAAGGTAAATATATTGAATAAATCAAAAATAAAAGCAATTCAAATTACAAAATACAAATTAGAAAATAGGTGAAACATTCTGGTACAGGACAAATGTGTAAAACAATGGATAGAGTGAACCAATTATTATCTGATTAGGACTGTATCTTATCATCCACCACAAATGATACATTTTTATTGGCATTCTGCTTACATAATTAATAAGTTGGTTTAGGTAAAACATATCTCGTCCAGTTTTGTGTTACTTTTTTCACTTTAGAAACAGTTTTGCTCAGATTGGGAACTAGTTGTTATGAAGTCAATCCAGTCCATTTGGTGACGTTACATAGTCAAGCTAAGCAACTAGTTATCGTGTGAATCATTTGCTATCATACAGATTTCTGTGTGTTGTCTAACCTTATAATCAGTCATACATTCTTGGAATATTTACTAATCAAACAAAGGATTACTGTAAAGACTCCTCCCTGCTGAACTACAGATCAACACTAAAGAAACATCGGGGCAGCATCAAGATCTCAGGTAAATTGAATCTACTTGTTATTCATTTGAGAAAGTTTTCATATGAGCCTTTTTTAAAGCAACTTTGATTATTATTATTCGACATAAGATTTAAAGTAGACTTAATTTTAATGAGAAATATGAGTGTTCTTGGAACAGGTGATGAAAACAATAATGTTAATGTCATCATGGGTTTGTTTTGATATGTATTACTAAAAAAAAGTCCCACAACAGATAAATTATAAAACATTGGAAGAGTTATTAAATGAAAAAGTGTTAGGATTTGACAATATTTGTTTGCATCTGTTGCATTTTAATAAAACATATTTTCCCTCCCCCAAAGTGGTTCTACAAAGGCCACAAGACCAAAATTCAACATGGTTTTCGGTGTTTTTTCCTCTAAAATATACAGCAAATCAGACAAATAAAGGATAAAAAAAAATAGATGCATCACTACAATCAATGTTATGATATTCCATCCAGCCGCTCCTTGATTGCCTGAGTGAGGTTAAAGACTGGCTGGCAGCAAATTTTCTGCTGCTGAATGATTTTAAGACCGAGTTTATTGTTTTTACTCCTAATGGCTCGTCTTCCTCCGCTCCTGATTTTTCTGCTCTTCCTTTTAAAATTAGTCAAACAATTATTAATCTTGGAATTAAAATGGATGCGGCTCTAAAAATGGACCATCATGTTTTTATCAGCTGAGACGTCTTTCCAAACTAAAACGCATTCTGAATCAGCTTCACCTCGGGGCAACCATTCACACTTTCATCACCTCAAGGTTGGACTTCTCCAATGCAATTCTGTTTGGTATTTCAAAAGCCGCATTATCTCGCTTTCAGCTGATACAGAATGCGACAGCAAGATTTCTGACCAATACTGGCCTTCGGCAGCTCATCACTCCAATTTTAGCAAGACTTCACTGACTTCCTGTGCACTATCGCATACGTTTTAAAATTTTATTGTTTGTTTTTAAGGCCTTGAATGGCTTAGCACCACCTTACATATCCGAGTTACTCACTCCTTCTGTGCCGGGCAGGACTCTCCGTTCAGGTGACCTACACCTACTACAGATTCCCCGTCTACGCTGCAAAACCCGTGGTGAACGAGCTTTCTCTGTCTGCGCTCCTAAACTCTGGAATGATCTCCCGTTGGATATCAGACTCTCCCCCTCCATTGGGGTTTTTAAGTCTCGTTTAAAGACTTACTTTTATTCCATTGCTTTTACTGCCTAGCTATTTTATCTAGGTTTATTTACTCTATTCTTTTACCTATTTTACTGAATTCTCTTGTTTGGTTCTTTGTGCTATGCTCTAGCTGTTCTATTCTTTTATATTATTCTATTAACCTTAAATGTCATTACCCCTGCGCAGCACTTTGGTCAGCTCACATCCTGTTTTTAAATGTGCTCTATCAAATAAATGGAATGGAAAATGGAAAATATTCTAACTCTAACTCATCCACTGAGTTTGTTTTGTTTTCTAGGTCAGTAAACATGATCAAAAAATATTTTTTTTTCAAAATGTAGAAGAACTGTCCCTTAAGGTGGATTGAAAAATAACACAAATGTTTTGATCAAAGCAAGTGTCAACTTTCAAGAGTAAAACATGAATTTAATCTCACTAGAATAGATGGTTTACTTGAGTGCGTATGTGTTTCCTCGGGTGATGGAAGAGTTGTAAAAGGTGTGTCATCTCTTTGTGTGACAGGCTCTGCAGAGATGTCTGGGCTGGCTTTGCTGTCTTTCTTGCTCCTGCAGACTGGAGTTTCTAGTTTTGGAACATATCCCAGTTTTATAAATAATTTAATTTTTGACGGATCCCTCAACCACCAAGAGATTACAGAGAAGGCAATCCTAAATGTCACAGTACAGGTGTGTCGAGCTCTGGCTCTGACCGAAGGCAAGGACTTCACTTTTCCAGTGAGTGTCATTCAATACCTCAAATTTTTTCTTAACAAACACACACACACACACACACACACACACTGCACGGGCTACATGGTGGCGCAGTGGTTAGCACTGTTGCCTCTCAGCACGAAGGTTGCAGGTTCGAAACTCGGCTCGGCTGCGGCTTTGCCTTTCTGCGTGGAGTTGTGTGTTCTCCCCATGCATGCGTGGGTTTCCTCCGGGTCCTCCGGTTTCTCCCACAGATCACAACATGCCCTATAGGTTATAAATTGTAAGTTGCTTTGGATAAAAAAGCGTCTGCTAAATGAATAAACATAAACATAAAAACACACACACACATATATGCATGTTATGTTTGATTAATAAATTGATTAATTAATTAATTAATATGTCTATATTTGCAGTCACAGCCCTTAACAGCTGAATCCGTCGTTGCTGCTTGTGAAGCACCAAAATCCTCCAAAACCTTTGTTGAAACCATCAGCCAGATTCGGCAGATGAACTATGTCACAGACCTTAGGTATCCATTCGACCCGCACTATCACTGTGATGAAGAGAAATTAAGAGAAGGACAGAAGCTAATAACTGATGGCTTAGCTGCTGTAAAAGCTGCCAATGACCAACAGAACTATGTTTCAGCAGCATCCATCCTGGGCAGAGCGCTCCACACCTTACAGGTAATTCTCAAACCAAAGACGAGTCATGAAGTGCACAAAACCAAACAGAGAAATCAGTCAAGCAATGACACTATGTTTCATGATCCCTTTTCTCCTTTTTGAACATGAAGGATTTCTACAGTCACAGTAACTGGGTGGAATTGAGGAACACATCCCCAAACTCCAATTTGATCCGTGCAAATGCCGACATCGGAACCATCGCGAGTACGTAGATTTTTAAAAGTACTTCTTGCTTTTTTCCTGCTTGTACTTTGAGGAAGGTTTGTCTTTTGGCAGCTGAAATGAAACAATAAACCTGTTCATTTATAATAATAATAATAATTTAAACAATAATGATATTAATGGGGTGACGGTGGCAGTTAAGTGCTCGGCCCGTAATCAGAAGGTTGCTGGTTTGAGCCCCACTCAGTTTGTCGCTGCCTTTGTGTCCTTGGGCAAGACACTTAAGCTCACCAGCTGGTGGAGGTCGGAGGGACCGGTGGCGCCTGTGCTTGGCAACCTCGCCTTTGTCAGTGCGTCCCAGGGCAGCTGTAGCTACATCGTAGCTCATCCCCAACAGGGTGTGAACGTGTGAATGACTGATTGTGTTGTAAAGCGCCTTGGGAGGATTCCAGGACTCTAGAAGGCACTATATCAAATACAGTTCATAATAATAATTTTAATTATTATAATAATAATGCTTAATGCAATCTTTAATCTGAAGATGAAAGCAGAAAAACCTGTCGCAGCTGCAATGGAGACGACTGCAGCAACAACATTTTGGAAGACATCTTAAAGGAAAACATTCTTACTTCAGGATATTTTTCACTTTTGCCCTCCAAACCTTCAGGTAAACATTTCCATTTATTGTCATTCATCTGTTGTCTTTTAGGTGGTGGTTTGTACAATAATCACCAGTTTGATCTGATCTGTTTTAGTTGCTAAAGTTTGAATGAAGTTTAAAGGCAACGGGTTCTTATTTTGTGTCCAATTGGTGTAATTAAGTTGTTTTATTCCAGACAGCTGTTGAACTGGCTCCTAGAATATCCAGTATTAGCTCTAGATTGCGCCAAACTGATTTGTTTTTATCAATCAGGAAAATGCAGCCATGGAAATCTTCCTGATGCAACCAGCTTCCGAGAACCTAAAGGTGGGATCAACAAAGACAAATTCTCCTCCAGCCACGGGGATCTCCACGAGAAAGCAGCTAATCTCGCCATCGCTGCAACCAGTGAGCTGCTGGAAGATGTTCGAGGTGCAGCTGGAGACAAAAAATTCCTTGAGTGAGTCTGTTAGATTATTAGATACAATGTGTGAAATGATAAATGAGACCATATTTGATTTTGCATTCCCTCCCTCAGGATGATGGGAATCTCCAGAGGATCCAGTAAAGCTCTCTGTTTTGTGGTCGACACGACAGGAAGCATGAGTAATGACATTGATGCAGTGAAAAATGTCACATCTTCTATAATCGACAGCAAAGTTGGAACAGAAGATGAACCATCATCTTATGTTCTTGTTCCCTTTAATGATCCAGGTAGGTAGCATGATGCAGACTGGTGCAGGGGGTAAATATTGTTGCTTTTCAGCTTAATATATTACCTTTACTTATGACCAATAAGCTGTGATACTCTATATAAATATAGAATACCAGCCTGCTTGGTCTTTGAATGTTTAATCAGAAGATTCTAGGACTCTTTGCTTTGTCCAGGGATCAAACACACTTCGTCTCAATTCAGACAGAGTCAGGTTTATTAAAGCAAGACATTTATTTTCTAAACAAATTAAAACAAGCCAAATTAAATAGGACGACTATGATGGATGAATCTAAATGGATGGAAGGGGAGAAGTGTGTGTTCATCAGAACCTTGTATCTAGAAGAACTGAGTTCTGGGTGAAAATTTTAGTTTGCATTAAGCTATGAAGTTGGTTCTTATCAAAACGGCATCAGACGCAATCTTGTGTCTACCTCACCCTTTCTTTGGAGACCCTCTTCGCGGATCCGGAGGTCAGGGAGGTCGGATGACCTCTGGGCACCGACGCTCCAGTCCAGAGATGTCGCCAGGCACACAGGTTGGAACTAATTTGCATCTAGAGCAGCTGTTTCTGAATAGCTGAAGGAACCGTTTTGCTGTCTCAGCTGTAGGCAGCTTTTAATTTGTCGAAAGCTTGTCAAGATATGCGGTGGCTAGAGAGTTTTCCTCCAATGGTCAGTCAGAGTTAGCTCAACTAACAGTATGCTAAATCACACAGAATGCTGGAATGCTGAAATGAATGAATGATGGAATGAAGATTCACTCCGCAAGTGACTCTGTTTTAATATTCTCATATTATGATTTACTTGGCCAATCGGAACGTGCCATGTAAAGGGGTGTTAACAATAAACCCTCAGAACATCACGCCTTCTTTCAGATACAGGATGCTATGATTTGTGGGTAAGAAAATATCTATGTGTCATGACGTTTAACTTAACTTTAATTTATCTCTAATGAACCTTGTGTCAGAGTGTAGATAATGGTTCACTTGTTAAATCTAAAATGACTGATCATAACATAATAATATTCATTACCACAGCAATTTAAGCACAGCCTAATCAACCTTATTAATTTAAGCACAGATTAATCAAGACATTATTATTATCCATCAACAATTATTGTTCATTCAACCATATGATTATTTACTATTATAACGGTTCAGTCATTTATTCTGTGCAGGACAGCCTAGATAAGCAGACAGGCTTGGCAGAGAAGATCCTTGAGAAGGGAACATGATGTTGACCATACGTTATCATGTGTTCAGAGCTGCATAGAGGCCCCGACTCCAGCTGGTGGAATGGCAGGATCCGGCAGATTAAAGGCAACAAATGTAGACTCCTGTCTCCGTACGACCAGATACTGAAGAGGTCAAACTATACATGAAAAACTGACCATTTGTGGACGTTACACTGGACAGACTGATCTTAATGATTCCAGCTTTTCTTTCAAACTGTCACATCCCTGAGGGTGATGACAACAGCGAAGCTTTTATGAAACTGAAGACATTCACTCGCAAAGTAAGAACAAAAGAAGATTAATCTTTTCTTGTGTTTCCGATGAATGACAGATTTTGGGCCACTGATGAGAACTACTGACCCAAAAGAGTTCAAGACTTACATCAACTCACTGTCAGCCGAAGGGGGAGGAGATTTTCCAGAAATGAGTCTTTCCGGATTGCAGGTGCGTTCTGTCTTTGCTTTATAATGTTGGACTTTAAACTGATGTCTAAAATGATTAATAACAGATTAATTATTTCTAATCATAGCTGGCTTTAACTGGCACTCCTCCGAATTCTGAGATCTTCCTCTTCACTGATGCCACTGCTAAAGATGAATACCTGAAAAATACAGTGACTGCACTTATTGAAAAGACCAAGACAACGGTGGGTTGTCTGAAGTAAAATTATTTATTGTAATTAATAAGGTCAGTTTGTGACACTGTATGGAGCTAGGATTGGGACAATATTCAATGTAACTTGTACCAAGTTTTGTAACTTGGAACATGTTTCATGGCACGTAACTTTGGATTCGTAACTTGTAACTTTAGTTTTCTAACTTGTAATTCTCAATTTGTACTTGTATTTCTTGTTTTGTAACAGGAAATTTTCATTTTGTACATGTATTTTTTATTTTGTAAAATCAAACCTTTATTTTGTACATTTACTGCTCATTTTGTAACATCAAACATTCATTCAGAAACATGAAACTTTCGGTTTTTACCTAGCAGACTTTCAAAATAAAAAAAATCAATGTACAAGTTTGAAATCAAAACTCTCAAAACACACATTTCATTCTACAGGTACAAACCTCAAATCTACAGCGTTACAAATAATTTTGTCTCAATTCTAGCTTCGGTGGGAGGAACTTGGGTGGAACCAGGATGGAACCAATGAGAGCACGAGTCTTAGCTACCAATCACGTTTCTTGAATTCCTGTCCAATCATTGGGAGAGGAGGGCAGGGTTCTGTCAGAGCTGTAGAAAGAGTTACGTTACGACACTCCAATAGACTTCTATGGTAAGAATGGAATGCGGAAGTCACGTGGTTCATGTAGCTTCGAATACTTCCAAACAGCCCCCGCTGCTGCATTGACCGTAGTTCATTTTCGGTGTTTCGGAAGGATTTTGTCCGGTAAGTTGATGAAATGTCTTCATTTTGTTGCATTGTGAAGCGTTAGCTAACCGCTTCGTACCAAAATAAGCCAATGGTGATATTTTATGTTGCCAGTTTTAGCTAGATAACCTTTAATGAGCTAATTGTGTGCAGCTTGTTGACTGTGAGCAGAGGACGAGCTGTAGACGGGTTTCTTTCAGCTTGTTTGATTCTACGTTTTAAAAATGTTCCCCACAGTTTGAAATAGGTTATAAACTTTTTACATTATTAGTTTTATTTGGGATTTTTTGTACAATACTTTGCTGGTTGCTGTATCAACACGAACATGCTTCAGAAATGGAAGCACAAATGGAGAGACCAATAATAAAGAAAATGTGATTGTGAGGACAAGTAATTATTTAATAATTTTCAGTTAATAACACTGACTGCAACGAACTGCTGACGCATGAGACAAACAGGATTACGAACGTAAGAAGATATGTTGTTCTGTTTTGTGTACTCAAGTAATAAGAATAGAATTAAGATAATTTAAGAACAGTAGTCGAACACAATAACTTAAAAAAATTAAACTTTTTCCATAAAACTGCTCATTTCCACTTGCTTTATAATATTAGCATTTGCAATTTTGTTATTAAGTAAGGAATGACAAGAAATAAGAATTAACAATAACACAACTATCAATAAATAAATGTCAAAGTGTTACTAAAACAAAAATCTTATTTAACCATTAAAGGTTAAACTGTGTTGTGTGTCCATCTTCATGTTTTCATAGTGGCTGAGCGGAGAGCTGACCAGAAACAACGGTGGTGGCAAATCCCAGTTGGGTCTGTGATGGAGTGGTGCTCGCTTGGAGTGATTGCCATGTCATCCACAGTAAGCACACACTCTCTTTCCATCTCTGTCAGATTTTTAACCTTCAAACTGAGCATGTCACACACCTCTCCTAACACACCTGGTTCCAGTTTAATGGGCTGCATTTGTCTTTGCAGGGTTCTAACATCAGGCAGAGGGATACTCATGTCCTGAAGAAACCTGTAGCCTGTTGAACCCAGCTGGGTTCCCTGGTTGTATAGCCTGTTCCTTTCTCCTCCTGGCCCTGACGCCGGCTCCTCATGGCTTCCTGGGATGTCCCTCTCTCCTGATACCATCTCATGTCCCCCATCACTTTCCCTCATCTCATTTGCCTCACTGCTGCTGCTGCTTTCCTTGTTCTCTGAATTTATAATGGCACTGTTAGAATAAAGAATAATTTTTAAATAAAATAAATACAAATGTCTAATATTTCAAAAGATTCGTACCACAGTTTACTTGAGTACAATATGTGTGGTCACTGGTCAGTGGATCAACGTGCAGTGGTTCTGCTGTACTTCTCACTGCGGGGTCCTTCCTCCTCCTTGGTTCACGGCGATGAACAGCATCAGCCCTGAGTCTCACCTTGCCTTGCCTAAGCTTAGTAAACTGTCCCTCCTCAAAATGTGCCTGTAGAGTGGTGTATTAGTTTATTTCCTGCCACATTTAACAGTTTAATTGCAGCCTTGTGTAGTTGAGAGTAAAACATGTAGTGCCTTGATAGAAAACATTTGAGAGTGCACATTAAACTCACTGCACACAGCTTTTTGTTATTGTGATCTCTGGTCATGGTGAGGTTGCTCCTGCTGACTTGAGCCAACCATTTTCTTCTTCTCTCTGCGTCTTTGGGGAAGCCATAATTCTGATTCCTCCCTCAGACCGATTGCTATATGCAGCACAGCCAACCATGTAAGATATTCAACCTATAAAGGGATTATTAAAATACTATTTTTGTACATATAGAAATATTGAACTGAACCAAAAACATAGAGGTATAAAATTGCATTTCAAAATGTTATCCAACCCTAAAATTGGTCATTTCAAATTTTTAACCCACGGACACATTTTATTTTAATAATAATCAAAATAAAGTTATTCAAAAGAGTTTCATTAGGTCTTGAGTACATTGCTCTAATTTATTGATTCAGCTTATTTGTGCATATGTAATGACTAAACATAATGTTGGTAAAATGCTTTATTAATTAGTTGCTATAGAAGCCAGATAAACTGGGTTATAAATGCATGTACTGTCTTCACATAAAAATATAAAGTAATGATTGTAAAATGTATTCTACTGAACATAACAGATAATCATTCAAAGTATAAACAGATACATATTTTCTTCAAGGTAAGCCAGAGCAGAATTCTAGCTTTCAATAAACCACTTTAAAATGGATATTATAACTCGAGTTTAGGGCTTCTTGTATGACTTAAAGTTATTAAATGCTTATATTAGAGCAGTGTGTTGCATTACTACATCAAATTTATTGCTATGCTATATTAAAGTAATGTAGGTGGTCTAAATGTGTTCTACAGTGTGTTAGGACTGTCATATTCCTGTAATGTAGAACAGTCACGGGTGTTTGTCTTCCTACAAATGCTTGTAAAAATATAAATAGGCTACTTTGTGAAGGAGTTAGGACATAATTCAATAATTACCACAAAGTGCAAGGGGAAATGTAATTATATTAAATTTTTGTGATTTGTCCCACCATACGCTGTTCAAACTGACTTACGGCGTTGGGATGTTTGGAACTGAGAGCTCCATGAACCATGTGACCGTGAGTCGGCGAGTTCAAAGAGTGTCGTAACTCTCTCTTTCTACAGCTCTGACAGAACCCTGCCCTCCTCTCCCGATGATTGGACAGGAATTCAAGAAATGTGATTGGTAGCTAAGACTCGTGCTCTCATTGGTTCCACCCAAGTTCCTCCCACCGAAGCTAGAATTGAGACAAAATTATTTGTAACGCTGTAGATTTGAGGTTTGTACCTGTAGAATGAAATGTGTGTTTTGAGAGTTTTGATTTCAAACTTGTACATTGATTTTTTTTTTATTTTGGAAGTCTGCTAGGTAAAAACCGAAAGTTTCATGTTTTTGAATGAATGTTTGATGTTACAAAATGAGTAGTAAATGTACGAAATAAAAGTTTGATTTTACAAAATGAAAAATACATGTACAAAATGAAAATTTCCGGTTACAAAACAAGAAATACATGTACAAATTGAGAATTACAAGTTAGAAAACTAAAGTTACAAGTTACGAATCCAAAGTTACATGTCATGAAACATGTTCCAAGTTACAAAACTTGGTACAAGTTACATTGAATATTGTCCCAATCCTAGCTCCATAACACTGGGAATCAGTACTTCAATGGTCGATCAAGGCCTCGGAATCTCTCTCTCTTCTCTTGAGTCCAGCTCCTCCAGGGGAATCCTAAGTCATTCCCTGGCCAGCCGAGAGACATATTTCTTCTAGCGTGTCCTGGGTCTTCCTTTAGGTTTCCTCCCATTTGGACATGCCAGGAAAACCTTTAGTTATTTTTATTTAACCTTTATTTATCCAGATGAGTCGATTGAGAACTCATTCTCATTTACAATGACGATCTGGCCAAGAAGCAGCAGCAACAGACACATAGTTAGCTTTACATCAAAGAAAAACAGGTAAAATAAAAAATACAAGACAAACATAAGATAAAACAATTAGACATAAAGACAAAGGATTGTTCTCATATACAATACGTACAAGAAATCTAAACAGACTTATAACCATCTTTGAGTACTCAGAAGCACATTGATCAGAAACTGTTGATTGCAATGAATTATTGAGATAATGGAGTGAGCTTCAGGGATTTTTGCAGCTAATTCCAGTCATTGGAAACAGCAAACTGGAATGAGGAGTGGCCAAAGGAGGTATGAGCTTTGGGAATAACCATAGAGAATAAGTTACTGGAACTTAAATTGCGCCGGTTGTTGGAAGTGATGAGTAATGAGTGAAGATATGACGGTGTTCTACCGATGATTGTTTTGTATATAAATTGATACCAATGTAATAACCTGCAGGAACGGAGTGATGGCCAGTTAACGAGTGAGTACAGATCACAATGATAAGTAGTGAAAGGGGTACCAGTGACAAAACAGGTTGCTGAGTGATAAATGACATCGAGTATATGTAGAAATTTTTTGGAAGCAGTCCTATAAATGATGTCAGTGTAATCTAAGATGGGAAGGATTGTCATTTTGACCAAGGTTTGCTTTGCAGAATGAGTAAAGGATGACCTGTTGTGGTATAGAAACCCAATTCATGACTTGACTTTAGAAAGTAATGAATTAATGTGAATGTCAATTGAAAGTGTGCTGTCAAGCCAGATACTCAAATGCTTATAAAAATTGACAAGCTGTAGTTCTGTATCATCCAGGGAAACTGTCACGGCGGGGAACACCAGAATAAATCCAGATGCAGGAGGCAGAGAGAAGTAGGTTTAGATCCAAAGATTTAATAACACAAAATCACCACACCAGTGGGAAACTCAAAAGGTCACTTGCAGAGGAATCACAGCAGTACATCCACAGACTCTAAACAGACTATTTAGTAAAACGCCACACTGAGTACTGGACCCAGCTGCTTAACTAAGAGTGGTTGCAATCTAGGAAACTGCAGTCAGCTGCGACATTCCAAGTGCTCCACAGAGGGGTGGGATACTCAAGAGGAGCCACAGCCGACCTGCACTGAAATAGAAACACAACTCTTCACGCAGAAACAATCAAAAGGAGAACACATAATATATAAATAAAACAACCAGAAGGAGCAGCCCATAACAGGAAACAATACTAGGGTGGAAAGCTGATTGCGGTAAGTTACCATTGAAGATCAAGAACTTTATTTTACTTGTGTTTAAATAAAGATAAAGGTTGGAGAAGGCAGGTTGAAGACTATTAAAGATGTGCTGCAAGCAGGAAAAGGGTGTGTTCAAGGAAGAACTGCATGCATACAAAATGGTGTCGTCCACATATAAATGTATGTGAGAACTGTCAACAGCATGAACAATGTTATTAATACATATTTTGAATAAGGTTGGGCCAAGTATCGACCCTTGAGGAATGCCAATGGATAAACATAGAGCAGCAGATTGGTAACCCTCGTATGCGTACGGCCTAAGATATAATTTCTAAACTTCTAAACCTCACCAGAGAGGCGTTCAGGAGGCATCCTAACCAGATGCCCAAGCCACATCAACTGACTCCTCTCAATGTGGAGGAGCAGCAGATCTACTTCAAACCCCTCCTGAATGACCGAGCTTCTCACCCTATCTGTAAGGGAGAGAGCCCAACCACCCTGTGGAGAAAACTCATTTTGGCTTGTATCCATGATCTCATTCTTTTGGTCACTATCCAAAGCTCGTGATCATTGGTGAGGGCTGGAATGTAGACCAGCCAGTAAATCAAGAACTTTGCCTTCCGGCTCAACTCTCTCTTCACCACGACAACGCCCGCATAACTGCAAATGCAGCACCAATCCGCCTGCCCCTTCCTGGGCTGAGACCTTACAGTGGTGGAGGGGTTTGAGTGTCCCAATGATCCTAGGAGCTAAGTTGTCTGAGGCTTTATGCCTCTGGTAGGGTCACCCATGGTAAACAGGCCCTAGGTAAGGGATCAGACAAAGAGCAGCCCACAGACCATGGAGCCCGGCCGGGCATAGCCTGAAGAAGAGCCTATGGGCTCACCACTTGTGAGAGGGGCCAAAGGGGTCGGATGCAATTTTGTGATGGGTGGTAGCCGAAGGCAGGGACCTTGGCGGTCTGATCCTCGGCTACAGAAGCTGGCTCTCAGTACATGGAATGTCACCTCTCTGGTGGGGAAAGAGCATGAGTTGGTGTGTGAGGTCCTATCAAGTCTTTTTGGCCTGTGGGACTCCAGAGGCAGCTTATGGGTACTGCCAGGCCAAGCAAAATGCGGCTCAGGTGGTCGCAGAGGCAAAAACCCGGGTGTGGGAGGAGTTTGGTGAGATCACGGACAAAGTCTTCCGTGTGGCTTTGAGGATATTCTGGTCCACCATCCAGCATCTCAGCAGGGAAAAACAGTGCGCTATCAACACTGTTTGTAGTGGGGATGGCGTGCTGCTACCTTCTATTTGGGACGTTGTGGATTGGTGGGCTGAATACTTCGAAGACCTCCTCAATCCCACTGGCACGTCTTCCAGTGAGGAAGCAGAGTCCAGAGACTTTGGGTTGGGCTCTCTAATTTCTGGTGTTGAGGTCACTGAGGTGGTCAAAAAGCTGCTTGGTGGCAAGGTTCTGGGGGTGGATGAAAACCGCCCAGAGTTAAGGCTCTGAATGTTGTAGGGTTGTGTTGGCTGACATGGCTCTGCAATATCGCGTGGACATTGGGGATCCCTTTTGGGGCTACTTTGGGAAAATGGGGTACTAGGCCCTCTGAAATGGGCTGTTAGTTCCCTATATGACCAGTGTCAGAGCTTGGTCCGCATTGCCAGTATTGAGTTGGGCTCGTTTCCCGTGAGAGGTGGACTCCGGCAAGGCTGCCTTTTGTTGTCGATTCTGTTCATAACCTTTATGGACAGAATTTCTAGGTGTAGCCAAGGTGTTGATGGGATCCGTTTTCAGTGGTTAAAGGATTGAGTCTCTGCTTTTTGCAGATGATGTGGTCCTGTTGGCTTCATCAGAACGTGATCTCCGGCTCTCACTGGAGTGGTTCACAGCCAAGTGGGAAACAGCTGGAATGAGAATCAGCTTTGCTAAATCCAAGACCATGGTCTTGAGTTGGAAACGGGTAGAATGCCTTTTCCGAGTCAGGGATGAGGTCCTGCCCCAAGTGGAGGTGTGTAAGTATCTCGGGGTCTTGCTCACGAGTGAGGGAAAGATGTTTCAAAAGGTAGAATGCTTTTTTTTAGTTGGGAATGAGTCTTTGGTTCAAGTGTCTTATTCACCAATGATGTAGGACGGAATAAGAGGTGGACCAACAATTGTAATAATTAAATATGTTTGTTGTGATGAAGACAGAAATGAACTAAAAGGGAAAGGTCTTTAATGACTAGTCTGTCTACATTCCAGTCCTCCTCTTTGATCAGGAGATTTGAATCATGACTAAAATAACAAGATCCGTGATTAAAGTGGCTGAATTTAATTTCTTCCATAAGGTCTGAGTCTTTGAGATAACACGAGGAACCCATCATCCCAAACTCAGAAGGGAGCCTCTCCTCATCATGATGGATAATGGGTGGATTTTTTAAAGCTTTAATGCTTCAGAAAGCATTGTTTTGTGTGTATGATGGTCACTCATAAAATAGACCAGTTTGTCTCCTGTGAGCATTTTTCTTTTCCTATTGTCAGACCACAGGTATGCACCGAAACTACATTCACAAAAGTATGAACAAATTTAAACACAAACACATTAATCTAAATGTTTGTAACCACTTTTTTGTCTAAAAAACTGTCATGACATAAATGTCACCATGAATGTTTTGAAAACAAAGTTTTGTAATGTTAAATTAGCATTTCTTATCCAAAACCAACAAAACTATTAAATTAAAGCGAGGTAGAGGTGAAAAAACTAAGAGGAGAGCCTCTGCTCCTCCTTCTCCAAAGGAATATGCTGGTCTGGACATCTGAGTAGTTCTCATGGAGGGTTGTTTTTAATGCTTCAGAAAGCAAAACTGTTTTAGTCATTGTTCTTTGCTGATTATTTTAATCATATAAATCATACACATGAATGAAGAGCTGTCAAATAACTTTAGAGCAAATGCATTCTTTTCACACGCCCTTTCAATGAAATGAAAGTAAAAGCAGGTATGGTTGGGTGTGTGCGTGAGTGTGTGTGTCAAGAAGAAAATAAGATCTAGATAGTCTGCTGCATTTGTTTCACTCTTTAACTCTTAACTGCTTCATCCTCAGTATTGCAGGGAATTGCTTTCTATCTCCCCGCTGTCATTGAGTGACACCTTGGACAAGTCTCTAGTGCATCGCAGGGATACACAACCATTTGGTCAGTGGGAGAAATCTAGAGTACCTATAGAGAAAACCGATGCATGCATGGGGGCATGCTAACTCTACCCAAAAAGGCTTTGGCCAAGATTCAAACCTGCAGAAAGTTATTGTGAATCAGAATAATCAAAAGGCTGAATGGATTGAATAATTACAAAACATGTCAGAAATTTGTTGACCATTGTTTCCTCAAGTAGCTTTTCTCACTAGCTTTTTTGTGTCTCCTCTCAACATATTAGTCAGTGGTTGTACATTTTGCAATAACACGACAAAAGAGGGTGTCCCCTCAACACTGATCTGACTCTTAATGATTTGTCTCTGAAGAGTTATCTGGAAGCCACCAACACCTAGAACTCTAAATCCTTGGCTCTCAGCAGGTCTCATTTACCTTTTGTTGTTTCAGGTGAACTTTATGATAACTAACGTGTTAGGCTTCCGTCGTCGAAGACAAGTTTCCAACAATCAGCAGCAAAGCCGTCAGATGGTGAGATCAGACACTCAGCTCTACAGAGACCTGGCTCAAGCTTCAGGAGGTCAAGCTATCCAAGTCACAAAGTATCAGCTTCTGGAAGCCACCAGTATCATTAGAGAATCCACCCTCTCCTCTCTGGTATGGACACATTTCTCTTACACATTTCTCTGGAAAACATTTTTTAAATGTTTTTTCAGTCAACCACACCTATCTCCTGCATTCGCTTCTGTTAGAAAACAGATGGTGAAAATGTAGGATTTGAAAATCCTGACAGGTCTACGTCACATTATAAATTAACATTCATGGACTCACCGATCTTGACTCACGACGGGGAAGGCTGTTGTTGGTTTGGCATCCAAGAAACAGCAGAAGACTCTAGTTTAAGCTAAACATTAGCATTCGTAGCTTCACCACATGGCAGAAGCTCCTCCAGGATTGTGACATTTGTAGAGATAAAACATCTATGTTGCAGGTCAGTGGTGTTGTGTTGCTCTTATCTAAGATTATTTTAGGATAAAGATAAAAGCAAACCAGATGAAAACAGTTAGACATAAAAGGTGGTTCTCGTCAATCAGGGAGAACCCCACAAACAACAGATCAAAATTTTCAGAACTACACGCGAACCTTCTCAGACCTCTGACACACAGCTTGACCAGCCGATGGAGGACTTACTGCTTCTACAGACGTGTCCGCCATCTAAACACTTCCCAACAAGAAAAGGACTCTGACTTCTTTTCCTGTTTAACATTCTAATGTCCCACTCATGAGACAAAACGCATTATATTCACGTGACCTGGAATTTTGCCCCAAAGCTTGATTCATGCACATGGAAGGGTATGTGCCGAGTGGGGAGAGATTGATGCACCTTGATGGATAGATCCTGAGTCCATGAATAAGAACAGAACATTCACATTGATTGGATGAGATTTTTCGAAGATTGTATGTTTTAGAGGCGATAAAAATTGTAAATATTTCTGACAAAACATTTAATTAATTGGTTATGATCGGTCTGAAGAGTATTTCAAGTAATATGGCAAAAAATGCTCCAGAAAAATTGATGTTTGTTTTGCAGGTCATCCTTTTGCAAGCATCCAGGAATCCTGGAAAGGTGGAAAATTTCACTTTTTCAGTTGACAAGTCAATAACAAACCTGACAATTTACATCACCGGAACGCCTGTTGATTTCACACTCATCAACCCTTCAGGTGATTGGGTCTCAGCAACTGTGAAAGTTACCATGTTGTTTGATTGGCTGAATTTGATGATTATCTTTCAAAAAATTTAACAGCTCTTGTTGTCATTAAGATTAACAGTGGTACTGTACTTCTTCAAATAATCAGATATATTTAAATGTTTCATCATTGAGTTTTACCATCTCAGTGGCCTAGTGGTATGAGTGTGATTCCTGGGACTGGGAGATCCAGGTTCATATCCTGGTCGGGTCATACCAGTGCCACCCCGCTTGGCACTCAGCAGGGGTTGAACTGGGGCGTTAAACCACCAAATGGTTCCCGAGCGTGGCCGCAGCTGCAGCTCACCGCTCCTCATGGGGATGGGTCAAATGTGGAGATAAATTTCACCAGTGTGTGATGATGACTAATTGGATTTTAACTTGAATGAAATAATAGTATATATTATTTCATTTGTTTTAGGTGTGATTCAAAATGTCTTCAACACAACAGGATCATCAGTCATTTCATCCCAGTCTGTCGGAAACTTCCAGACTCTACGTCTTAAAACTGAAATGGGAGTGTGGAAAATAGGAATGATGACAACAAATCCATATAATCTGAAGGTTGTAGGTGAGAGCTCCACAACTGCACAGTTAAACCAAAAAAAAAAAAAATAATTATTAGAGTTGGTTTTATTTTGAATGTCTGTTTATAGCAACCTTGTTCCACCCAGGAGTTAGATACAGGACATATTTGTTGTATTAAATATGCACATTTATCCACATCAGTTAATCTAGGGTTTCAAAAAAATTAACTAATTGGTACATTAAAGTAAGTATAGTGGTATGTAAAGGGTTCTTGCTTGGGTATAGAGAAGGTAGGTTATGAGTACATGTACCCTGCAGTTATGCACTCATAATATATTAGACTATATTAGAAAGTTTTGATCTGTAGTACTGCTACTAAATAATTGAACAAAGCAATAACTTTTACAATAATCTGCTAACAATCGCTGGACATCATGGAAAATCTAAAGTTTTTTCAAGAGCAAGAGAATAAATAAAAAAACATGCCTCTCTCAGCTTTAAAGTGTTTTTATAATTTGTTTCACTTTCTTTCATCTAAAACTTTATTATTATAGGTGGGAGTCCAGTCAACTTTCTGTTTAACTTTGTGAAGGAGTCAAGCGGCCCAGTTGAAGGGTTTGATCCAATAGACAATCGTCCAACAGCTGGTAAAGGAAACACAGTTTTATGATTGTCAAAAATAATCTAATCAGTGCACACATAAGTGAGCAGATTCCTCTCTTTAAAGGTGGTAATGCCAGTTTGATTGTCACACTAATTGGGAGTGACATTGCTACTGCGACAGAGGTCACTCTAGTTGAATCTTCGGGTTCAGGTCAAGTTAAGAGCACCATGGCTGCTCAAGGTGGAGGACAGTTCCTTTTTCGGTTTGATAAAATCCCATCGTTTGAGTTTGTGGTTCTCCTGAAGGGTCAGAGCATCAACAGCAACTCCAGAGCAGCCTCAGAGATCTTCCAAAGGCAGTCCTCCACCAGCCTGAGAGCTTCTGATCTAACTGTCATCGCTGTAAGCAAATGCTACCATCTATTTTTCAATCTTATCTGGGATTCTTTTAATTTTTATTTTCTTCCTTGCTAGGGTAAATCCGACACTTTCTTGAAGCCAGGAACACCACAGTCAGTTCCCTTCTCTGTGACCACAAGTGGTGTAGGAGGAAGTTTCACCATCCAAGCTACCAATGATCAAGGTTTTGATATAAGTTTCCCACCCAGTTTGTCCTTGGATGCTGGAGGTAGTGCTAATGGTACAGTAAACATCACAGCACCTCCTGACACCCCATCTGGTACCAGTGTCACTCTGACCATTGAGGCTACAGCACCAGGAGGTGCAGACACCAACTATGCTGTGCTCCGTTTCATCTTCCTTCAACCGGTAACATTTGAAACAAATAAAATAAAATAAAAATGAAACATCTACACCAACATTATTGGGGCTAAATAACTATTCATTCTAGTTGTCATACTTTTACCCTCACAGGTGACTGATTTCACTCAGCCATCATGTCAGCTGCTCAGCCTGCAGGCCAACTGCTCTGACAACTGCAGACTGTCAGTTTGGGAGCTCTCTGTCCAGGTCAGCGATGGAGTTAATGGGACAGGTGTGGCGAGTGTCAATGTCAGACAAGGCAACGGCACCTTCAACAGCAGCAGTGTGATTGGTAGTGAGAACAAAACTGTGGTGTCGTACGTGGCTTCCTGCTGCTCACCTGATGTGCAGCTGGTGGCTGTGGATCAGGTGGGCAACGTGGAGGTGTGTAGCTACTCTGTTCGTAAGATCATCACACCTACGGTCGCACAAGCTGTCACAGAGGCTTCATCGACCGTGACAACACCTACAGTGGCTTCGTCCACAAGATCTGTGCAGTCTGTCCTATTTTGCTTGGGATTCTCTTTCTTTGTGTTTATTTGCTAATCTGAGGTTTAAGGTAGAAAGACCTGCTGAAATCTTTATTTAGCTATGATAAAATTTTATCTCTGGCTTTAATAGTTGTAAACTTAACTTTTAATCAATATTAATCACTACAATAAAAGGTTTCTAGGGAAAATGGAATGGAAACTGGGTTACGTTTATAACTATAACATGTATTTTTCTGTGCTTAGGTGTTTGTGGAGGTTAAAAATAATTTATTATGCAAACCAAATTTTTTGCATTTTTTGGCTGTCATTTCAGTCTCTGCAGCCTCTATATGCCTCAAAATTTGAATAACACCATCCAACCATTTTCTGTGAGTGTTTGGATTTTAAGAATTGTAAGTCTAATTCGAGGCCTTTGAAAAAGTCGCAGTTTGTGACATCACAATCAGGGAAATTAGCATGGAATCCCCTCTTACTTGTTGCTGGAGGAGCAGCAGTGGCTCTGCTCTGAGCTCTTCCTGGATATAGGGTGTCTAAGTCACCCACATCTATCTCCTGACCTTCGGCCCCTGGAAAAGAGAAATGAATGCAAGTCAAGGTGGTTATTTTCTAATCCCATGTTACATGTGCCATATATGTCACATATGATGTCCATGAATTTTATGGATACACTTTGATTCCAATAAAATGCTTTGTTGTTTTTGATGTATGTTGTACTTTGAGCTTGCCGTAGAGAACATGCAGAGGTTTATGTGGGTTGGAGAAGGACGACAAAAACAAACAAAAAAAAAAACAATGTTTTGGGATCAATTTTATTTTACATAAACACGGCAAACACACTTACTTGACAATTCTTGTCACTGTTTGCAAATAAATGTGTAAAAGTAAAAGAAAACAATGTATGTTGACATGAAAATGGCTCGTGACATGCTTTGTGTGGGCAGTTCTGGTACTTTTGGGTTGCAGCGCTGCTTCAGCTGTGCGAAACCCTCACGAAGGACAGGTTAAATATCAAACATGTTTGAAATTCATACGACTACATGATTGCTGATCGGGAGCTGTTCCTGAGGTGTTAATTGCCTCTCGTCACCCCTTGTATACTACACAAAGCAAAACTTGCCCCGACCTCAAAGATTCCCATGCGAGCAGAAAACCGGCTCAAAATTGTCAAAACATTGTAAAGAGTACACTCGGCTTCAGGCTCCCTATCTGAGCTCTTCACCTAAAAGCAGCCAACGCAGAATGGGTGGGCATTGCTCGCAACAGCTTGCAAAGTAACACTAAACATTTGGTTGAAAGAGGAATTGCAACTGTCATAAACAACCCTGCGGCAGCCTGCTATAGCTAGCACTAATAACGAGCTAACACTAGCATGAGGCAAGCCTTACTAAACAAGCCATGAATTAAAAAGATCCATACTGTTGAACAAAAAATATTGTTACTTACAAGTCCAGTAGCAACAAAGCCAGGTCACCATCAGCCCGTGATTTCATCGCCTACTTCAGCTTCTTTAAATGAGTTTAGGCCACGCCGATGTTCACTCTGGTTTTAGCTCTTTGCTTCGCCTCTAAAGAATTACTATCTAACTTTTACTTCCAGGCTTCACCATAATGACAACAAAAATGTAAACTTCTTTTATTTATTTTTTCGTCTTGTGTTTTTTGTTGACAGCAAACTAAAAAGGTAACTGCTAGTCTTTTATTAGTTAATGGCACAGAAAATAGCTAACAGCCATTAAGCAGGTAAAGAGCACCCCATAGACACCTAATTGCTACACATAATTGTTAATTAAGTGATGTTTCTGGTCAGCAGAGGGCTGCAGAGTGCTGTCTCATGTGATGTTTCTAACAACACAATCACTGAACCCCACATTTTAAGGCTTTAACTTCTCACCTTACAAGTTCTCAACTGGAGTGCGCCATGGAGGTGCTCACCATGGCTTCTCAGTGGCAGGCATCAACCAGCAGGTGTGCTCCAAACCTGCAAAATTATCTGGATCATCAGATAGGAGGATATTTCCTAAGTTCCTTCCATTATCTACAGTATATTATCACAACTACTTACTTAGTACTTATCTTTCTTCCTCAAAGTACTTTATTTTACCTGTCCCAACTAGCAACACCATCTTTATCTTTCTATTTAATAAATATTCTTAAACCATTTTGTCTCCTGAGAGTTTTTGCAAAGGAAGAAGTCAACTCCTGGAAGGAAGGAACACCTGGAGGGGCTGGGGATGACTGAATGAACACAGGACCTGGGAGGAATGATCTAAAGGGCTACAAACAGAAGACACATGAAGAACACAAAGAGACACATAAATGAGACACAGACAAAGGACACATGAGGGCGCTTTGAGACACAAAAGGGGAACCTAGAGAGGGATGGAGAACATGAGGAGACACATAAGGGAAGATGCAGATGCAGACCATGACATCTGTGTCTTGTTTTCATGTTTGTTTATGTTCTTTGGTCTGTGACAGTGATGACTACTTTAGAAATTGCAATGCAATCCAATGAAAACTATTGACAAATATATCTGGATTTTTCTGAAAACAAAACCATTCTGTACTACAATGTAAAAAAAGGTAAATGGCCATTATTTGATACAGCATCTTTTAGGGTTCTACAACCCCCAAAACACCTAATAACACAAACAGTCATTCCCCCATGCACACACACGTTCACACACTGATGGTGATGAGCTACACTGTAGCCACAGCTGTCTTGGGGTACACTGACAGAGTTGAGGCTGGTGTGAACAGTCACCGCCAGTTCCCCTGATCACCACTAGTAGCCAAGGTGGGCTAAGTGACCTGCCCAAAGACACAATGGTGACCGACTGAGTGAGGCACACCTGGTTTGAATCTGCTGGTGATTAACAGGCTGCTGTGGAGCCTGATGAGCTGCTGAACAGGTGATTCATCCAAGAATCAGGTGTGTTGGAGCAGGTAAACAATTAAAACCTGCTGGATGGCAGCCCTTGAGGACCAGGATTGGCCACTCCTGACCTAGCTATTGTGTGAGTGAACTGTTATCATAAAGTTTTATGCTATCTTACACGTATAAACAGTCATGCATTCTTGGAGTTTTTACTAACCAAAGGATTAGAGACTCCTCCCTGCTGAACCAAGGTTTATATATATAAAGGTTGACATTAAAGAAACATCATGGCAGCATCAAGACATTAGGTATCTACTTTTTATTGATTTGATCCAGTTTTCATGTTTATGAGTCATTTTTTCAGAGTAAATGGGATTCTTACTATTAGATTTAGTATTTAAAATAGATTTAATTATTTTGAGAAATCTAGAAGCTTTCATAATGGGGGACGAAAACAGTGAAGAATTGTTGCTTATGTTGGTTTGAAAAATAACAAGAATGTTCTGCTCAAGGCAAGATAAAAAGCAATTTAACCAACAGGTTCTACAAGTTTAACACTTGCTTATCTGTACAAATCAAATTTAATAAGATTGGAAAACAATTGCCTCCACGTTCAAATTGCAATGTGACTTTTGACAGTAAATTTTAATATTATTTTGGTCTAATTATTTTGACTAAAGTGAGTGAGGAGTGAGGAGTGAGGAGTGAGCACCACCTCACCCCTGCCATGTGGACCTCAAAGGATAAACCATCAATCTTGCTCAGTGGTCAACTTTCCTGGCGGGGTCACCCATGAAGACAGTGGGAGGGTTAAAAAGAGAGGAACTTTACTTTTCGTTTTTATGAAACAGAGCAAATAGCCACAAGAGGTCAGAGCGAGATGAAACAAAAACGGGGTTCACCTGATGGCCTATTTCTGCCACGTTGTTTTGGTGATTTAGGTCTTTTGGCTGAAAACCAAAATGTACTTTTGGGTAATTTTCAGCCAAATGTTTGCTGCATCCTTTCTGAGTAGTACTTAAATAATAATACTCCCCATAGGTATACCTGGAGACAGAGGCGGAGCTGGCCTAAATGGCGCCCTGTGCGAGATCCCCCTGTGACACCCCCCCCCCCACACACACACACACACACACACACACGAAAAAACATTACACCTACAACTTTGTTTCAAATTGCGTGGAGTGTATTATATATAACAACGTTTGCTGTCTGAATACAACATCCAGCTCCTGGCCACCTTCTCACCACTTGTCAAAGTTCTACTGAAATAGACACACTTAACGCAACATGATGGCATCATCGACTTGTACAGTACAGATGTGCTGAAAGGCGAGAGTCTCAACTTTCAGCTAAAAAAAGAACGCTCTAGCTATTATAGTTTTTATTTTATGGCAGTTTTCAGTTTAAACGGGATCTTACTAGCAGGGCACCTCCAGCAGCCCGCTGCCGCTTCGTTTTTCATGGGGTAAATAATAGCTCATTTCCCGATTCCAAAAAGAAAGAATGGTCCTACCAGCTCGCCACTTCAATATGAAGAAGATCAGTTCAACATGGGGGAAAAAAAACCTGACCTGTAGGCCAGAGAAACGTTCATTAGCACATCAAGTTCGATTCAGTTTACCGGTAAACATATCACGAATGTACAACAGGTCAATTATTAATCATCTTGGCTACGTAGCTTAATCTATACATTCCAGTAGCGTTTGCTACAAACAAATACAAAAACAACAATAAAGGAAAGCAACTGTCTGACAGACAACATAGCCGAATTCAAGGCAACACATAACAATAATCATTCGATTGCTCTTGGTTTTAAGTTAAGCCCATTAAAGTGCTTAAGTAAATAAAAGTGTTTCAAAAACAGCGTTTTTGAACCGGAGTTCTGCTCGCGGTGGGAACTCCGCCGAACAAGGTCATTTTTTATAGCGAAAACGATCGACTGGTCACTGACAAGTAAAAGGGTGTTATTGGTAGATGTTAAGAACACTTACCGCTGAGGTAAAATGAGAGTATAAATGAATTGAGGGGAGAAAAACGCTTTGTTTTTAGCCCGGAAGTATTCCCCCACAGCCAGCTTTCATTGTTGCCGCGACGTGGAAGGAGCCAATCAGGAGAGGGACCTCACATCAGCTGACGTGGGTCATGTGACAGGGAGTAGTTGATATGGGTTACACTTTGTTGTGCTTTTATTACAGAAATAGTATTATTATCATCACTATTATTAAGAACATGCGATTTCTATGTTTTGTTTATGTATTGGTTGATGCTTAAAAAAAATTTTTTTAGAAGAAAAAAAAAAAAAAAGGAAATTAAATGCCGCCCCCTGCAGACTGCCGCCCTGTTCGGCCGCACATATTGCACATATCAAGCTCCGCCACTGCCTGGAGACCTGAAAGCAGAAGCGAACAGCCCGTATGTCCCTGAGAGTCTGATTATATTTCCCTAACCACGCCCTATTCTGTCAATATAAAATGGTTTTGGACATGAGAGGCCCAGAAACACACTCTGCTCCTTTTTCTCCTTATCTATGTATCCTCCCCCACATTCCTGAGTGGTACACTGTTCTCTGTTTTCATTCTAATTCTGACTAGATTCAAAACTGCATGGTTTAACTCTTCTACATAAGAGTGAACTTATAAATATTTATAAGCAAACAGTAAATAATAATGTAATACCAAAATGATAACACAGAACCGATAATACTTATGAGTAAATAGTAGAAAACTATAGGACTAAATATTCCTATAAGTCAGAACCCTAGTATCACATATCCCAAGCAGATTTTCTCACCAGCTTTTTGTATGTCACTTCTCAGCATTTAAGATGTCTGTAAATCTGTTTCATGAATCTTGACTCTCAGCAAGCAATCTGGCTCAGACTCTCATTCACCTTTTGTTGTTTCAGGTGAACTTAATGATAACTAACGTGCTAGGCTTCCGTTGACGAAGACAAGTTTCCAACAATCAGCAGCAAAGCCGTCAGATGGTGAGAACAGACACTCAGCTCTACAGAGACCTGGCTCAAGCTTGAGGAGGTAGAGCTATCCAAGTCACGAAAGATCAGGGGTCTCATTTATCAAACATTGCGTAGAATCCTTACTAAAACCGTACTCAGCAAAAAAAAGTACTTACGCCAAGTAGGTTTGTGATCTATCAAACATGGAGTACGCACAGCTGCACACAATCTCCGCTTCATAAATCAGAAACTATCTAGAAAGGTTCTCAGCTGCTTTTTAGTCACATCTCGCCCTCACCACACCCACTTACTGCCATAAATGGTCAATGCAAAGTGCCTTGTGGATCTCATGCATATACATAAGTCAGCTTGTTGCAGCATTTCGATCCCGACCACAGATCAAGGAAGTGTTATTTCACAAGCAGAAATTCAGGTACTTGTGGGTGAGGTGGGGAAATGAAAGGAAGTGCTTTTGCAAAAACAAATAAAAGAAAACCCACAGAGTGGCACAGTGTTGCTGAAGCCGTCAATGCTGAGTTCTTCAGAGAGATCTGTGGCGGATATAAAAAAAATGATCCAATCAGGATTTGATCCCCAGACTCCCAGGTGAAAGTCACAAGCACTAAACCAGTCACTCAGACGGAGATCTCCCTTGTCCAAGTAGCCAGGGCGCATGATCAATCGGGTCACAGTGACAGGACACACACTGTCACAGATGCATGACATTCTGTCTCAATCTGTCCCCCTGCTGATATTCTGCATTCCTTATTCTACACTTCAGGGTGTGTGTGTGTGTGTGTGTGTGTGTGTGTGTGTGTGTGTGTGTGTGTGTGCGTGTGTGCGTGCATGCGTGTGTGTGTGTGTGTGTGTGTGTGTGTGCGCGCGTGCGCGCAAGTGCGGGGTGGCTTGTTCTGTGTGTGCACGAAGTGGTACAAGTGGTAATGCTACTGGAATTCATAATTGTATCCTTCTCAGCAGCAGCACTGCAGGTGCTCTCCATGTCTAAAATGTGCGTAAGCAAGGTCCTTATTCAACTTAAAGTTGCGCACATTTTTCCACTAAGTTGTCTTTCATAAATCCCAAAGTTTGCGTGGAAAGTTGCTTATGCAGTTTTCCGACCCATTTTGTGCACAAGCAAGCTTGATAAATGAGGCCCCTGCTGCTGGAAGCCACCACATCATTAGAGAATCCACAATCTCCTCCCTGGTAGGCATATATACTGTACTTCTCCTCCCTCAACAATTTTTCTTATGTTGACAAAACAACAATCTGCAGATTGATGTTTGTTTTGCAGGTTGTAATTTTGCAAGCATCCAGGAATCCTGGCAAGGCTGAAATGTTCACTTTTTCAGTTGACAAGTCAATAAAAAATCTGATTATTTACATCACTGGGGCTTCTGTTGACTTTACTCTCATAAACCCTTCAGGTGATTGAGTCTCAGTAACTGTCAATATTATTATGTTGTTTGATCAGTAAGATTTAGGCATCAACAACCATGTACATCCACAATCTACAAGTAATCAAATATTTGTAAATGTTTCATTAATGAATTTTAATGCACTTTCTATTTAATTAAGAGTCTGTAGAAACTCTTGAATATGTTTCAGGTGTGACTCAAAATACTTTTAACACAAAAGGATCATCAATCACGTCATCCCAGTCCGTCGGAAATCTCCAGACTCCACATCTTAAAACTGAAGTGGGAGTGTGTGTGAGGTTCTGTGTGTGTGTGTGTGTGTGTGTGTGGTTCCTCACCTTTTCTCCTCAGGTGTGACAGGCAGGCCGCACCAGGTGCCATCGATCAGAGGCAATTAAGGTGGAGCACTTAAAGCTGATCGGAGGAGGAAAGCAGATGCCAGATGATTAAGCCACACAGCTTGCCGGCCCGACTTTCTGAGTTCCCAGGATCTCCCAGCGTCTTCCCTGAACCGTGGTGTCTGCTTCACCCCGTGCTCCTCCTGGCTGCGGTGCTTCAGCCTTTTCATCCATGCCCTGTTGGATCCTCCTCTTCTCCACCTGCCTGTCCACCCTCGAGCCTCCAGCGAAATCTCAACCTCAGCCTGCCACACTCCCACACTGGACCTCACCTCCTCTCCAAACACTCCTCGCCACGCAGACCAGTAAGCTCACCCCCTTCAATTCTATTATCAGAACAGTCTCCTTGCTCCTCGAATCACCTTCTGTTTCCCCTTCAGAACCGCCTCTGCGAACCCGTCCAGAGTTCCTCCACCACTCTGAGAACCCGCTGAACTTTCAATAAAACTGTTAAACTTTCTCCTGTGTCCGGGTGTGTTCGCTCCAGAGTCTCCTAGAGAATCATGACAGAATCATCTGGCCATTCAGACTCTGCGGCACACCTGCGCACTGCTCTGTCCGAACAAGGCATCCTGTTGGGCCGACACGAAACGGCACTCCAGAACATGTCTCAGCAACAGGATACGTTACTCCAAGGAATGAATCATCTCACTAAACTCTTTCATGATCTGAGTTCTAGGCTCCCCTCATCTGATCCACAACCGTCGGCATCAGTCCCGGTCCGCCGTGATCCTTCAGCATCGTCCGGTTTCCGTGATGCGGTTTCTCCGACTCCTAATCCGTTCTCTGGCGAGTTAGGTAAGGCAAAAGGCTTTCTATTGCAATGTTCCTTAGCTTTTGACCGCAGTCCCCACTCTTTTCAGACAGATGAGAGTAAAATTTCATATGTCATCTCCCTCCTTAATGACAAGGCTCTGCTTTGGGCCCAGGCTACTCTTGGCTCCGACAGTCTTTCAGATCACTCATTTGACTATTTTCTCGAACAATTTAAGCAGACTTTCTGCCCAAAAATTAGCGAGGAACAAGCCACCAAGAGATTGTGGAATCTAAGACAGGGTAGTAGATCAGTAGCTGAGATGACAGTCGATTTCCGCATTTTGGCTGCGGAATCAGGTTGGAACGGTCCCGCGCTGAAAGGGACGTTTCAACATGCGCTTAATGAGAATCTGAAAGACGAGTTGGCCAGCAGAGACGAGCCCGACTCCTTGGATTAATTAATCAATCTCGCTATAAGGATCGACAACCGTCTTAGAGAGCGAGCAAAACTTAGAGGTCCGGGTCCCCGATTCCCTGCTCCGCGTCGGGTTGAACTAACTGCACCGCCATCTCCTCTCGGGTTTTCGGCTCCGCCCCCTGTCTCCAGCGCACAGCCAAATTTGCCTTCCCCTGAGCCCATGCAGATCGGCCGTGCTCGGCTTTCTCCGGCGGAGAGGCAGCGCCGTATGGAAGCTCGTTGTTGCCTATATTGCGGTTCCCCCATCATTTTATTGCAGCCTGCCAGCTCCGCCCAAAAGGGTCACTCATCAGTAAAAGTGGGGGTACTGACGGGTGACCTCAACAAAAGAAATCTTCGCCTCACGCTTTCCGCCACCATCCAAATTAATTGTCTTCAGGTCCAAACTAGCGCCCTCATAGATTCTGGTTCAGAGCAAAATTTAATTAGTGCTGGTTTTGTTCAACAACATTGCATTCCCATCCTAGAGCTCGATCATCCAGTGCAGGTTTCTGCATTAGATGGTTGTTCTCTTACTACCATCACCCATCAGACTGAAACAGTTAACCTAGTGGTTTCTGGTAACCACTGTGAAAAAATTACATTTTTAGTTTTCCCAGTCAATGATTCACCTGTAGTTTTAGGTTACCCCTGGTTGTCCCAACACAACCCCTCCATCAATTGGTCCCAGGCCCGTGTGGAATCTTGGAGCCCTACCTGCATTCGCGAATGCCTCCATTCTGCCATTCCCAGTCAGGTTTCCTCCGTCCCAGAACATTCTGAGCCCACTGATCTCACTAACGTCCCCACAGAATACCATGATCTTCACAGGGTTTTTAGTAAGGAGCGTGCCCTCTCTCTTCCGCCTCATCGACCCTATGACTATTCCATAGACCTTCTCCCAGGGGCCCCTCTTCCCTCCGGTCGTCTGTTTAGCCTCTCAAAACAAGAACGTGAGACTATGGAGGAATACATTAACGATTCATTAAAAGCAGGCATCATCCGACACTCCACTTCCCCCATGGGAGCAGGCTTTTTCTTCGTGGGGAAAAAAGATGGAACCCTGAGGCCCTGCATTGACTATCGTGCCCTGAACAACATCACCATAAAGAACAGGTACTCCCTCCCTTTAATTGCTTCTGCTTTCGAGCATGTCCAGGAAGCTCTATTTTTTACCAAGCTGGATCTCAGGAACGCTTACCATTTGGTCCGGATCAAGGAAGGGGATGAGTGGAAAAAAGCGTTTAAGACACACATTGGACATTTTGAGTATCTGGTCATGCCCTTCGGCCTTTGCAACGCCCCAGCAATATTCCAAAATCTGATAAATGATGTACTCCGGGATTTTTTG